CTAACGAGACACAGGAGAGCACAATCAGGGCAGGGCGGGACAAGGTAGGAGATCATGAGGAGCAGGGTAAATGGTCAGGGACAATAATACTAAATAAATGGGTAGAAATGAAACATGACCTGGGGAAGTTTACGAGTTGTTTCCAGATGTCTGTGTAGGGTCTCAGTCACTCGGGTCAGGGTAAATCAGAAGCTTGATCCAACAGGCAACTGAACTGTTTGAAGATTTTAAGACGTTTCACCTCTCCTCCCAAAGCCTGCCTTCAGAGGACAAGCTGCCTTTGGATGTGTGCTGCATTCATGTGGTGTCATACACATTGGAAAAACGAGTTTCTGAGTTGAAAAATGCCCATGAACACCTGCTCAAGTTGGAACAACAACTCTGAAACTCGAAAAAGAATTAGCTGACTCCCCGACTTGATGTCAGAATCCTCATCACCTGGGGGGCAAAATATGTTTGTCAAAGTTTACACACCTTTTATTAATCTGAGTATTGCACATCAACTTGTTGCTCAAATGTAACTTGTAACAGTTAGTTTCCACAGATTGTCTTTGTAGCATCAACGCTGTTGATCATCAACCGACACCAAAGTCAGAAGAACGACTTCCCAACTCGGAAACTTGGACCACCCGAGCAGCGCCTGAATGCAGCATAAAAAGATGTTTCAACTTCAAAACAAAGATGTTTAAGATCTTATGAGATGATTAAACTTAAAGGCTTTCGATGCAACTTTCAGAGCAGATTTTCAAACTAAAACAAATAAATAAACTTCAGTATATTTTCAAACTTGAATATGTTGCTCTGTGCTGTAGATTTAAAATGCATCAAGTAAAAGGAACATTGTGAGGCATTCAAAGAGTTTTTCTTCTACATTTTCAGTGTTCACTGTTCGACGTGAAACATTTCTATCAGTTTAATTTCTGTCTTTGATGTTCTCTGTTCTCCTGTGTTTACTGAATCACTTTGATAAACTTCTCTGCTGCGTCTCGTCTGAACTCGGGGAATTCCTCCTGTGATTCTGATCATTAAAGCCCTTCTGAGTTACATAAGGTTCTAATTAAACAGAGCATCTTGTACACGTGTGTAAATGACGATCCCAGTGGGAGAACATGATCGGGCTGTTAGAGTACAAGATGTGGAAATGAAGGAGGTGGTAAATGCTGCATAAACAGTCATTAAGGCTCTGACACACCAAGCAGATCGTAGAGAGTGTAGGTGAACGATTGTAGATCTGGTTTTTGCAGCGTGTCCAGCTCAGTCGCTGCCTATCGGCCCCCGTCTGCCTTTTTTCAGCCGATTCGACATGTTGAGTCGGCGTCCGTCGGCGCGGTTGGTGAGAGAAATCACTCTGATTGGCTGTTCAGCTAAACGAATCAGAGCTCAAGAAGAAAAACGGAAGTGACCAAAGCAAAACATTATCAGACATTTTTTCGATTGAATCGGCGTCAGTGAGAGGAATCTCTCTGATTGGCTGTTGGGAGGTTTCATTTCTCTCCAGCTCTCCTCTCAGGTTCAGTAAAGCTCCTTGAGCATGTCGCTGTAGTCTCCATGCTTTCACCCATTAGTGCGGTTTCTCCTTATTTGTCTCCTCCGCCTCTTCTTCTTTTTCCACTAGAAGACCAAGGGCTGACAACGCCAGCGCCATTTTCAACTTTTTATCAGACATTATTCTCCATTAGTAGCTACCTATAATACGAGTGGTGAGCGACAGCGGTGTGAAAATGGTCTTCTCGTATCATAACAACGGACTACCGCTGCCTGCTGGCATGGAGAGTTTATTTCCCCTCACGTATGAGAAGAACTTATGTCGTGGTTGGCCGCCGGCTGAAGTCTTTGCGGTGTGTTCAAGTGCAACTTTTTGGCCAAGACAAGAGGCGACGTGAGGCGTACTTAATAAAAACCCATCCAGTGATTGTTGATTGTAAAGCCTCTGTCCCTGTCTGAATTCCCCCTCATGAAAAAGTGCTCATGTCATAAGAAACTATCGAGATGTTGCATGGCCGAGAGGGATCTGCTGCTGTGGAAGTCGTGTTATGACAGAGCTGACAATAACTGGGCCTCTTCTATCGCTCTGTGTACATAACCTGAACCTGCGTTACATAACCGCCTCAGAGTCCTGGGAACGTCACCGCAGAGGCACAGTTCAGCAAAACGAAAAGAACACACTTCAGAAGAAAGAGGTCTCCGGACTTATCAGCGTCCGCAGTGTTTTTCTTATCTGTTTCCTGCGGTAGAGACTTCACATTAACGAGCTGGTTCAACCCAGACTGATGTCAGGACCTCTGCAGATCACAGAAACAGGAAGAAATCTGCTAAATGAACGACTGGATGAATTGGCGACTTTAAATTAAAGCGTGTGGTTTGGTCTCCAACTAGAATCCCATTTTCACATTAATCATTTTGATCACTGTTAACAGACAAAGAATGAATCAGTCCAGATTTAAAAGTTAACATCCACACAACCTGAGACATTTAATAAGGACACAGGATGACCGGAAAAATGTGCTTGCTGTTCAAACCCCCTTAAAGACCCTGTCCACATATCCAGGCTTACCCCGAGGACATTGAATGTTGTTCTAGAACCCTTTAAACTAACGTAAACAGATGCGGTCTCTTTTGAGAGCTAACAACTTGTAGCTTCAGACTGTGTTAAACCCCTTTAAAAAAAATCATTAAAACAGTGCTACTGTTGATATTAGGCGCCCTTCATCTCAGACCACAGGCTGTTCGGTCGTCGATTCCAATTGGACCGTCGGTGAGCGATCCTTTTTCTTGCCTTTTTTCAGCCGATTGGACATGTTGAATCGGCATCGGTTGATGTCGATGCAGTTGGTGAGAGGAATCTCTCTGATTGGCTGTTGGGAGGTTTCATTTCTCTCCACCTCTCGATGCAGGTTCAGTAAAGACCCTTGAGCATGCCGCTGTAGGGTCCATGCTTTCACCCATTAGTGCGGTTTCTCCTTATTTGGAGAATATACACTAAGGGCACGGTCACACTGGCTATCCGTACTGTGCCCAAGCACGCTTCAACCCTTTAAGTCCAGTTCGTTTGACCAGTGTGACCGCTCTGTATCAGGCTCAGGCACGGTACACTTCCTTGGCTTTGGCACACTTCGGAGAGGTGTGCTTCGGCGCGGTACACTTCATGCACGAGCACAAGCACGCGGGTACACAACGCTGACAGCCTTCATATGGAGTTTCATGGTTGTATCTGACTAACATGACACAATATAAGCCACAAAGTAGCTGTCATGTTCTCTGTGTTGTTCTCCGATGTGTGCATCTATTTTATTTTTTTACTTATTTATGCCTGTGTCCGCTTAAAATGGCTTAAAATAAGCTGTAAAGTCAGTAAAGTAGCTGTCATGCTCTCTGTGTTTTTCTCTGATGTGCAGACGCGGACTCGACTGCGTGTCTCTTTTTCTCTCTCTCTCTCTCTCTCGTCCGCCTGTTTGTAAACTGAGCACGCTTCATAATAACATAAAGCGTGCATGTGTTGTATTAGTACGTTATGTACAAGAGGTAATTGTGCTTAAGCAAGCAGGGTTAGTCCTGGCCAGTATGATTGCGTGGGAATGGCACAGTGTCTATAATCATGACTGGATAAGAGTGATATTTGACAAAATATTGTTCACTTGTTATCAGCTAAAGTCAGCATTGGTCCTAACTATACATATGAGTGTGTGGGAGAATTTTCTGCAGAAGTCAGGGTTGTTAGAAAAAAAAACAGGTGAAGAAAAACAAACCTTGATCTTTGAGCTCATGTTGTGTGAGACTGTGGGTCCAGGTTGAATCATTCCATCCTGTAAAAGAAGCCGGTCTGTACTTTACGCTGCCCTCCTGTTGTCCTCTTCACTCTTTCCAAAAGGAAACGACCCCTCCCTCCATCCATTGTTCTCCTCACCCAGAGGTCGTGAACATCAGTGAGGAGCTCCTACAGGAGGGGAAGAAACTCTGACAGCAGGGGAGAGGAGCTTCCTCTGGAGGGACTCACAGAGACTGAAGAGTTTAACATAAATCAGCCTGCTAAAGTTGACTTTGCTGTGAGGAAAATTAAAACTGACTGAGTGGGGTTTAACAGGTTTACTGACGAATGATGAAGATGAATAGAATGAATGTGACTTAAGTAAGTATGTAAGTTATATACTCCAATGGTACAACTTCAACCTCTGATTATAACTATTTTTTAAGTGGTGTTGTATGAGGCTCTTGAATGATGTATTAGCCAGAGGAGACGTCGGTCAGCTCGGCACTTTAATGATAAACTGGTTGGAGTGCCGGTGTTCTGTTGAAAAGTGCTGCCTCGTCAAAAATGCTAACGTAGCGCAAATCAGAGGCTTGAAACGGCGGTCTGACTAGGGGCTACTGACTCCAGGAATTTTGCCAGACAAGACAATTTAGATCACTGTTGTCTCCTCTCTGGCATGGAGTCACCTGAGCAGCTTTTCAAACAGCTTGGAGTGCACCAGAACTAAGTGTGTGTTATTTACACAAGAGAAATAATTTATTGAAATAATGAAGAAATAATGAAGTTATCTTTAAACTCTGTGACCCTCAGTACTCCTGATAAGAAGATCTGCCCTAATCTGAGGTTACGTCTCACCTTTGAATTTAAGCCTTTCAACAAACTGGGTGCTTTGTTCTGAAGGTCACGGGTCAGAGCTGATCACATCAAACAAACGCGTGTGTGTGTGTGTGTGTGTGTGTGTGTGTGTGTGTGTGTGTGTGTGTGTGTGTGTGTGTGTGTGTGTGTGTGTGTGTGTGTGTGTGTGTGTGTTGTGTGTGTTGTGTGTGTGGGCTCCTCCAGGTGTGTTTTATTTGTCACCTCTTTTAAAGAGGGGCCGGGGGACACATCAGTCTGTTTAAACAGGAGCCGACTCGAGGGGGATTTAATCTCCCGGCCCTCTCAGCAGGTCAGTCAGAGGTGTTAATGAAGCATCAAGTAGGGGCCCGCTGTTAGCCCCCCCCCCCCCCGCCACAAACACACAACAACACACATCAACATACAGCCGTTTATCCTCTACCCAGTGTATGAATAATTTCACTCAGTATGTCAGTCATGAGTTCAAAAGTGTGTCAGCTCAGAGTGAAGTAAATAGCACATCTGTCCTGGTTACCGTGCAGCGCCGCTCTGTTGCCGAGCAGACTTCAGCTGCAGGCAGCATCATGAGATGAAGTGTCGTTTTAGGAGGGAAGAGGAACATTAAGCAGCACTTGGAGCTGAGTGTTTCTTCTTCAACCTGTCGTTTTTCTGCTGAAAAATTCAGGCGGAGGATAAACAAAGCTTACGTAAGGATTGGTGGAAACATGGGAGGCGGATCTGTGAGTGGGACAAAGACAGAAACGAGCTCCAGCATCTGTTTGGAGCGTCGGGCCCCCGGTTACGTAACAGTTTTTGCAAAGAGGACGGATGAGTGTAGAAATGACAGCTGGAATTTCATTGGGCTGTTTCTAATTAGTCTCCGCCTCAATGAACAGCGAGGTTTAGCAAAACAAGGGCGAGGGCCGCGGCGAGCAGCCTGCACAGAGAAACAGAATGTGCAGGGTGATTTAAAGCATGTGTGTTTGAATTATTTAATCCAGCATATGAAGACACTTTGCACCCTGGACTGCAGGAGGGTACATCCAACTTCTCCAAGTCTCTTCGCTCTAAAATAAAAAAGAAATAAAAAAAGAAGTGTTTCACCCTGAGAGAAAATGTTCTGAGGTAAAAAATACAATTTCTGCCAGAAGTGTCTCTTGTGTTTTATACTGCCTGTTCTTGTTTTCTTCTTCTTTGGTGCCAGGATTACTCATGAAAAACATATTTTTACACCAAAGACTTTGTTTTAATTTCAGGTTTATTCATGAACTCCTGCAGGCTGTTAAAAATCACGTCAAAGATGAAAAAGGCTTTCAAGCACCAGTACTCTTACCGTCAATGAACTTAAATATAATAGACTCAAGTATATAAAAGAGAATATCATTATCCTGAGTGCATGAGAAAGGTTGAGTGTAAGGGGATTGAGGAGGGAAGGAAAAGTGAACAGAGGGTACCAAACGGACGGAGGGGGCTCGAGTCAGGCTAGAAATAAAATTATTCTGTTTCCTTCTTTAACCTGTTAGTCATGGCTGTCATGAGCTCAGTTAAATGAGCTGAATAACAACAATGAACACAATTCTGAAGAAAAAAAAAACCTCTCTCTCTGAGGACGCCAGGGAATAATGTTTTAAATGTCAGGTAAGATTATGCACTGTACCTTTAAGCAGGAATTCAAATCAAGAAGAAAAACTAAGACTGAGGTGAATACTACATCTTAAAGAGTCAGTCAAATAGCTTTATCCTGAAAAATAAACAAAACAAAAGTAATGTCGATCAACCGTCACTTCTGCACCTGAACATGTCCTCTGACTGGATTTTTATGTTTTGGTTGATTTGGACGTTCCTCGGCGGGGAGCTGGTGTGTTTCCCCCCGGCCAATGACAGCACAATTGAGTTCAGGAGTGGATTAAATTCAGCGATTGGATGCTATCTAACGAATATGACAGACGTGGACGTAGCGGCAGTAAATGAAAACACTAGGTGCTCCAGTGAGCCCAGGAGGAGGAGGGGCTTGTAGTTTAAATGTTGTGTTTACAAGCTGCAAAAAACAATGCTAATGCCTCTACCTTTAAGGTGGCTGAATTTGGTATGTTATTGTTGACTTATTCATTATTACCATGTAAACCTTCCCCGACAACGGCCCTGGTTGAGTGTTTAAAAATACACACAGAAGATAAATGTGGACGGCAAATCATGTCGTGAGACCTTGACTCTCTGAAAACAAGATTTGCCCTTTACGGTCTTTTCTGCAGCTGATTTCCAGGCAGCTCTTTGTGTCATTATAGCAGGACATCAGAGAGAGTTTGATACTGTTTAATTACTGATAGAATCTCTTTGAAGTGCAGCCTCAGACAGAAAAACGGGACTTCTGTAAATGTGGAGGCTGATAGTGAAACAACGATAACGTGCTGCCTTCTTCTGCACAAAAAGAGGTGATGTGTTGCCCTGCTTTTTGTCTGCAGGCGCTGTCACTTCTCCGCTCTCATAAACTCCTAACGAGAAACGTAAATCCAGAACACACACGCCTTCTTGAGAAACCTGGATTAGTCCAGATTTCCGGACTCTCTCTTTCTGAATCAGAACAAACACGTGGGTCATGACACAGCTGGTCAGCAGATATGAAGCTGTAAACTTACTCACAGTGAGTCATGTGAAATCATAAACATACAGCGTAAGAGGGATGACTGTACAGGCCAACGAATGGAGCACAGAAAAGACACGTTTTATAGGAAAATGAGAACATATGAAGTAGAAATGGTTGACTTAATCGTACCCTAGATTGACATTTAATCTCAATTTTTTTCAAATATTAAACAAACTCTACATTTAGCATCATCTTCATGAATATTAGATCCCCTCCTCCCTTCCCTGGAATATGCCCTCACATTATTTCTACCAGCCCACCTGATCAGGTAGTCTAGAACTGTCCCTGTTTGCATGACGTCAGTGAAAGGAGCTACAAACTTTGCAGAAGTTGGCAGAAGTTGAAAAAAAAAATAGCTGCTTACTCTTCCCATCATCTCTCTGCTCAGTGGTTCAGAGTTTGGGGTGGGGGTGCTGGGTTCAGGGTGGGGTTTTGGTGGCAGACAGCCAGGCTCTTCTCAGGAAACCGAGGCAGGCAGGGAGGGGTCCCTCTTCCCTTATCACCGTATCCTGTCCTCTGCTGTGACGACAGCACTTCTTACACCGTTTACACCCTTCACAGGCACACTGACATCAGATTAACTGTTCATGCAATCAGCCTGAACAACACCCCCCCCCCCCTGCTGAATACACACACCTAAATGGATGGTGGAGCTTCCAAAGTCCATTTCCCTTCCTTTAGGAGAGCGAGGGATCAAAGACTGGACGACCGACCGGGACTGAAATACACAAACACTTGAGTAAACATGTTAGTGGAGAGGCTGCAAGATCCTGTCGTTTCTAAATTTACACATTTGAACCTAAAGTTGTGTCTGAAGCAGAACAGGGGGAACATTCAGGAGTCCTTTATTGGAGTATTTATAACCCCGTGCTTTAGTTTACGTTCTGCTGAAGCTCTAATGTTAGAGTCTAAACAGAGAACTGTGGGCCCTTGGACAGTAGCTCAAGTCTAAGTCAGCCAGTAAAGTACGGATTTAAACAGCTGTTTGGTGGGAACCAGTCATGTTTATGCTTGCTATATAATCTGCTGTACTGTAATTATTTAAATGCTGCATGGCCCAAAATTTAATTGGGAAAGAATAAATCTCATCTACGCTGACGCTGCTTAGCTTGATGCCTACAATACGGACTTTTCTTTCTTGTTTTTGACCACATGCGTATTATATATTTTCATTGTTGTGCGCAAAACATCTAAGTTTGTAGAATCAGTTCAAACTGTGCAAATCATAGAGTGTTTCATTAGGTAGATCCTTTCTCCTGTGCAGATCGACCCCCCCGACTCCTCCTTTTTTGTTCCTCCTGACTCCAAATAAAAACCAAAGATGGCAACTTCCAAAACACCAAAACTGGGTCGGTAATCAAATGGGTGAGGTCACAATCACTTCTTATATATAGCCTACAAGAACAAGAACATGATTCAACAAGTACATTTGAGCAGAATGGGTTATTGGAGGAGTAAGATGAATGTTGCACAATCTGAGATCTCAGGTTTGTTATTGGGGCATATTGCCTTTTCACACATGCACAGAAGTCCTAAACATTTCCTGAATCTTTTGGGGGGGTGTGCTGAATGTTTTCACCGGGACTTTATCTGGGATTTGACCTGCCAACCCCTTTGTATTAAAATTCAAAATGGAAAAAAATGAAGATGTTTATACAGGAGTGGTGCAATCTTTGTGCACCTAAGGAAACTTCTCCGTTAGGTTTTCTGTACACCAACATGCTCTTTACACACGTTCATTGATACTGTCAATATGTCCAATGACTCATAGCATTGATATGAAGGCAATACTGTTAGATAGCGTCTCACTCTTCTGCTTTGCCTGCCCTCCTCTTTACTGTCATGTCCTGCCTCCCTACAGTGAAAGCTGTTTCCACACATGCACGGGACAGGCCGTCCCTGACATCTTCCTGAATTGTTTACTCACACATCCAGGTTCAGAGTGGACCAGGACTCGGATCGGCTGATATGGACGTTTGGGAACATGTGACCCCTGAAATCCGCTCTGTCACCGGTCGCCCTGCAGCCGAGGGCCATGGGAAGAGAGGGAGCGGCACGCCAACCAGCCCGTGCGAGCGCTGTGTCACGGAAAATGTTCAGGGCCACCGGGCGGGCGGCCATGTTTCTGAAGAAGCAGGAAGGGCATCGAGCAACTGTGTTAACAGTCGATCCCCTCATGAGGATTTCTGCTGTTTCCATCCAGCATTTCACTTTGACTTGTTCTACATCCTGAGAACACAGAGTTGAAAATATATGAAAACCTTCATGATTCTTTGTCTCACAATGTGTTTTCAAGTTCATGCAAAGCTTCGGCTGTCACGGTCTAAACTGACATGACTCATTTCGAAGTCTTTTTTAGTCCGCCTGCATATTTCCTTATCAGGGAGACAATTACAAAATGTGCTGGTTCCACTTCCATTATCTCCAGCTGGTTGACGAGGAAGCTGTGTGTGTGTGTGTGTGTGTGTGTGTGTGTGTGTGTGTGTGTGTGTGGTGTGTGTGTGTGTGTGTGTGTGTGTGTGTGTGTGTGTGTGTGTGTGTGTGTGTGTGTGTGTGTGTGTGTGTGTGTGTGTGTGTGTGCGTGTGTGTGTGTGTGTGTGTGTGTGTGTGAGAGAGAAAGATTGTGTGTGTGTGTGTGTGTGTGTGTGTGTGAGAGAGAGAGAGTGTGTGTGTGTGTGTGTGTGTGTGTGTGTGTGTGTGTGTGTGTGTGTGTGAGAGAGAAAGGGTGTGTGTGTGTGTGTGTGTGTGTGTGTGTATGTGTGTGTGTGTGAGAGAGAAAGGTTGTGTGTGTGTGTGTGTGTGTGTGTGAGAGAGTGGTTGTGTGCCACATGTTTCAGCTGCTGCAGACCCACCAGAAACCCAAAACAGGAGAGTAAAGACGAGATCGTAACAGTTCATTTCTTTCTCTCCCCCCGCCCTTCCCCACCCTAATCTCTTCTCTTCATGTGTTTGAGCTGGTATTGTTCTCAGAGCAGACCCAGCAGATACAGCCAGGACCCCCCCCCCCTCCCCCCACTCCCCCCCAACACACACACACAATCCTTCCCGAAACTCAGTCCTCCACCAGAGACAGAGAAACACATGAAAAGCAGCTGCTTTGCTACGTTTGCATTTAGGTGACACTCTCTAGCTTCAAACCAAACTCCATGAAAAAATATTATCAGTTTCATGTGATGTTTATTATGTTCTTGCTTTTGTCTGAGTATTTCATCGTCTTCGGTGCATCTTCATGAAAACTTGTCCTGCAGAGCTAAATTATCTGTGTGCTCAGTGGGATCATGTCTGACTTATGAGCAGGTTGTTATAGCGGATGAACTCCTTCATGGTGAGACAGAAGTCCATGGCAGTGGACAAAAGTTTAATATTTTTCTAAGAGCTTATTGGAAGCACTTTTTTCTTTTTTTTTAAGATGTTTTATTAGCTGTTTTATCCTCCATTTTTGTTTGGTTTATTGCACTTTAATGCTGCAGTGGACACCAGTGTTCAAGAAGATTATGAAATCTGACAGAAACTATCAAATCCAATAAAACTAGGTGAGACAACCAGCTGCTCTTAACACTAAACCAAACATTTAAGTCACCGCCCTCATGATGTTTAAAATGACCGCCGATGACAGCAGAAAGTTACAACTCTCACTCACTCTTTTCTCAACAATACTTTAAACTATTAAAATTCAAAACAAAGCTTTTTGTGAGCTTTTCAAACACATCTCCGTCTTCTTCAGCAAAGCGTTAGAAGACTCCAATGTGAAGGGCGCCCTGCGGGACGTTTGGATTTGAAGCAGCGTCGTTCTTTTGTCCCGGTGGATTATTCGCTAATATAAATGCATAAAGTGTATCTCTCCCCTTTTTTTTCCCCCCTTGATTTGAATATTCTTAGTGATGCAACCAGCTGAAGTTTAGTGCACTGAGAGGTTAAACTGGGACACAGGGAAGATGAATGAGTGTTTTCTTAACAGCTCCAGTACCTGCAGAGGTTAGGGATTCCTAACCAGGCGTCTTTATTTAGACAGCAGCTCTGACTCAGGCTTTTTTATCTGTGAACAGTTCGTTACATAAAGCAGTGAGTGGAGAACAAACCTGCAGCCTGAACTGATCAACAGCCTCACTGATAAGATAAAAGGAACAAAAACACACGCTCCATCTTATCACTGTCCTTCAGTTTCTTTATTCCAAACACATAAATATGAACACCCTGCAAACAGAGCTGAAGAATGACAACAGTATCAACATATCTTATAAGTCAAACGCTTCTTTTGAAGCAATATTTCACCTCTTTCAGATTTCTATCTGCGTCCTTTGAAGGTCAGTTTTTTTGTTTTTGGTAAAGTGCATTCTCTGACCATGTGAATGTGTCGTCGCGTTGAGGGGAGTCTGTTTGGAGAGGCAGCCGAGGGGACATTCCCGCTGAGCAGAGAGGACCCGTGGATCTTTGTGGGTAGCGAAACCAAAACATCTCACCTTTAACAGCCACTCAGAGAGACGACAGATAGCTTTGAAAGTGTCTTTAAAGTCATCAGTCTTCTGATGAGCTCCTTTACTGTTTGGGTGAATCCAGTTCCTCTCCAATTTTACCCCATGGGAGTAACAAATAGCCTTGTGTGGAACCTTTTCTTTCACAGTTAATAATGCATCGCACGCAGACACTTCACAAGTACAAATCACTGAACGAGAACTAAAACTCAAAAATACAAAAAATGATGGAACATGTGTCACAGCCGATCCAGGAAGATGAGAAAATCATCGCTGTCTGTTGAGCTCGGTGGCCAAATCAGTGTCAACAAAGGGGTGCTAGTTATGCTAATGTTAGAAGGTGAGCTAATTAATCGCTCCGCTCAGGGTGCTAATATTGGTGTCCCTGTCTTAAGTCACATTAAGTTTGGGCGTTGCAGAAGCACAGTTGAAGGGTTGACATACACACAGTCAGACATGCACGCGCACACAGGCGCTGCGCTCCCCCCCGCTGGAGGGCAGGGTCACTTCTACCCCCGCCATTACACCTCTGCGACTTTCAGACTGACCGCCAAACGTCACAGGTGCGTCATTTCCCAGCTCGAAGCGGCGGTCTGAAAAGGGCTTGTGTTAAATTAAGAATTTCATTGGCTATCGGGGCCAGCCGGTTCATTTCAGCTCGTGAGGAAACAATGATTACAAAAATGATTATTGCACACAGTCCAGCAATGGCACTCGCTAGCTACACAAACAAGACAATAATAATGTTTTTTTTTTTTAAAGCGTGAAAGCCGAATCAGTGTCCACGAGGCAGCTCATCTTCGCAAGACAACCCTCGACTTACATGCTAAGCTAAGGAATGTGCGCTTCCTGTTGGGGCCAGGAAACTAAGCTTAAGGAAGAGTTTTGAGAGTTTTGCAGCTAGAGCACGAGCAGACAGCTTTTGAGATCGGAGTAATCCAGGGCGCACCAGGATGGTCCAGAGTGACTTTAAAGTTCGATGCATATAAAACATGGGAGCGAACAACGCCTTTCACACAGTGGCTTCTTCAGGTTCGCTCTCCACTCGATTAGCGTCTCTGTAGAAAACTCTATTAGCCTCAACAAAACTGATCTTTTTGAGTCAGCATCGATTGTCTCAGCAGGAGAAACAGCTAGCGAGCTGGTTAACACTTCGAAAGTATTGTTAGCCAGCCAGCTATTTGGCTACTCATATAAGTAGGAACAGAAATCATTTGAGCTTTTCTTACTGCTATAAAAAAATATAAATAAAATCACGACTTAAAAAGACGGTGACGTTCATGAATCTAGTAACAATTCAGCAATACGACGTTTGGTAATGCATTGATTACTGCAACAAAAAGGTCCCTTACTCAAAGTGACTGCAATGCATTCTGGTCAATCTGTCAGTGGGACATCACCTTCATTCGGCTTCTGTCTGATTAGCGCGACTCGGCTCGATGTCTCCTGGCTCCGTACATCTGAAGCATCCGGCCACATGTAGAAAAGTCTTTTAGAATCATTGTTTTCATGATTGTTGTGTTGACATGTTTCCGGCTCACATTGTGCAACATGAATATAAAATACTTTTGATATTTTTTGCTCTAATACTGTCCCGTCGGCCGTCTCTATACAAGCTTTGGTAGGATAAAAATATAAAGATTGATTGTTTCTGAACAGCTAAGCAGCACATATTCTTACAAACGACTTAAAACAGACGAGTCGCAGCTCGTTTAAAGAGTTCAGTAAACTTCATAGCCGGCCGCTGCGCAGCACGACACTGGACTTTGTAAAGATTGACTTGTTGCTGTTGACGTTCAGAGTCCACGTGGCAAAATCAATCCCACCGTCCTCCTCTGACCTGAACGCACCAGTCCCACCGGAGGGGATCAAACTCAGCCAATCAGAGACCAGAGGTCAGCCCAATGATTAGTTCTTATGTAGCTTTAGATCCAGCTCACATGTTTTGTGTTTTTTTTTTTTTTTTTTTTTTAAGTTCCCACATCATCTCTTCTTCTTCTGTTGCCGCAACGTCTTTCTCCTCTTCATGATCATGGCGTGCAGCTTCTCCAGCCCCTCGTGCAGACCCTCGCCGATGATCGCACACGCCGGCTGAGGTGCCAGGGCGTCGCCGTGCTGAGCTCGCCCAGAGCCAACATGCTCTCCATCTCCGCCAGGCTCAGGGAGTTCCTCAAGTCCTGTTTGTTTGCCACGACCAGCACTGGCACGCCCTGGTTCTCCGCCAGCCGCGTTATCTTGTGCAGCTCCGTTTTGGCCTCCTCAATGCGCTCGGCGTCGACGGAGTCCACCACGAACACGATGCCGTCAGCGCAGCGGGTGTAGAGCGCCACAGAGGCCGCAGCTTCTCCTGACCTCCTACATCCCAGAAGTGGAAGGAAGCTGTCCGCCTGTTGCTTCCCAGCGACACTTTGATCTTCTCCGCGTTGAAACCTTTAGTGGGGACAGTGTTCACAAACTCATTGAAGCGCAGGCGGTACAGCACGGTGGTCTTTCCTGCACAATCCAGACCCAGAATGACGATGTGGAGCGCCTGGAAGGACGGCAGGCAGAGGAAGTGATGGTCTGATAATCCGTTCCCCATGGTGGTCACCAAATCAGGAAGACTCGCCACCAAATATTGACCAGAGAGCCTCAGGGGCTGCAGCAGGAGAGAGAGAGAGAGAGAGGAGGGGGGTAAACACAGTGTAATGCATAATGAGTCAAAGCACACAAACACCAAGCACTCCATTGATTTACGAAAGACCAAACAGCCAACAAGTGAATACCCCCCTCCCCTCTCCCTGCAGACTAAACATCCTCACATGATCCTGCCTCCGAGGGATGAATGAGAAATAAAACAGCAGGGAGGGTAGCAGCACATTTGCACATGTAGCGCCAACTGGGATTTCATACGCTAATTCCTATTGAGATCGTGAAACAGTAAGCAGCAGGGTGAAGCCTTTTAAATTGAACCGAAATCCCACATTTAACAGTGAAACAAGCTGTGTTCAGGGACAGGAACAGATCATATGAGGGAGCACACTGACACCGTTTCGATTCGGCTTTTGAAAAAGGTGTTGCTCGGCAACATGGACTGACTTCTCTCTTAAGATGAAAGACGAACTCCATTTAAAAAAAACTACAAGTTAAAAAAATCCTTGCTCGCAAGACAATACACACAATGGAAACACATAATGTGACACCTTTTGCAACTGCAACATTGTTCTGACTAATTCGGCATACATATGGTCCACATTAAATAAATACATTCAATAAAATCGCTACTTTTATCATTTGTTACACAGCGGCCGCTCACGCCCTGCCCACTGCGTAATGATACAAAGGCAGGAGACATTAACAGGTGAATTATTACAAAAGTGAACATTACTAAGAAAACCATTGCTACCTGGATCATAAGATTGAAGCCGAATTATGTAGCGACCATTAATAGTTTCAAAAATATTTCCACTAAGACAGGTATAGCTTGCTTTATACGTAAAAAAACAAAGACTTGTACAATTGCGATTTTTCAAAACGGAGTTTGGCGTGTAGTTCGCTTGGTTTCATGCTAGACCAGCCCAGGCTAAACTCGAGGATATGATGCCAACAAGTGTTAGAAAATTATTAAAGTTAAACTGAATTAAGTGGGCTCAGCGTGGATGACAAACACGGCCGCTCATTGGACAGTAATGATACGTTAAATTACACGACAACACGGAGAAACGGTCTACAGTATTTCATTCATTTAACATGCATATACCTGAATTGTGATTTTTTTTAATTTTTTTTTAACAATTATCGCGATATTTTACTAAGTGTAAATGATTATTAATCAATATATCCTGTCAGTGAAAACGTACCTTCACAAGCAGTGTTAGTCTATCACAAACTGACTGTAGGTCCACAGCTGTAGTCTCCTCATGCCTCGTTCATATCCTCTCACGCATTGACACATCCAGCTGGAAGGACTCCCCTCTTCACGCCTCCACAGCAGCGTCAAGCCGGCCATAGTAAACAACACCACATCCGCTGAAATCTTTCAAAATAAAGGCTGAGCGCCGTGGTAACCAACTTTTAAACATTTGTTTTTAAACACTTAAAATCAAGTGTTACAAATTAACAACTATTGAAACCGCTGAAAATTATACTCCGCATTTCTATACTAGGCTGATATGCTAAAATAAGTACCAAATTATATTTAAAAAAAATAAAATGAGGAAAAGTTGACAGAAATATGGAAATAAACAAAAGATAATCACTAAAAACGTTTTATAACCAATCTTAGCAACAATATCATCTATGAAACTTATACTTGCAGATCTCCTACACTTAAGTTATCTGTAATTCTAAACTAATAATGTATTTATTTATTCTTTTTTTTTTTTTTGTTATTCTGTGGTTTTAATCACCACAATCTTCACACTACCTCTGAGTTGATTAATGTGACTTCCACAACTATGGTAGTTTGTTTGCAAGTATCCTTAAATCAGGCTGAACCTTTATCACTTTAATAACAGGAAATCCACGTATTTACATTCTCTAAATGAAGAGCCTACTGTTTGCTGTCGTTGAAGCTCTGCTTCAAAAACTTCTGATGTCGTCAAAAAATGCTGTATGAATAGAGGTATTCCCTTAAATTAGAAAGTAAATTGTTTGGGGGTATTTATTTCTTTGTTTTCCAAGTCAGGGTTTCAAAATAGTTTTCCTTAAGCAGCACAAGTGTGCATAAAACATATTCCAACATATTTCACTTTTGATTTACTTTGGTGTCCAATATAGATGAGATGGGACGAGACCAGATAGATGAGATGAGATAAAATAAGATCAACTTTTATTTATCCTGAAGGAAACTCTTGTGCTTTGTTCCTCCATCATTACAGTACTACAAAGGGTAAGTGTTAAAGGGTAAAACTGTTTAAACCAAAAACCCTTAAATGATTCTCTCCAGGTGTTCATTTTTATTTATAGCCCACATTTTTAAGTCTTCAATAAAATAAATATTCTGCAGCTCTCTGAAAGTTTTAAAGCTTTTATTTGAGAGCTGAAGCGATGGTATTTCCGGTTTGATTCTACCTTACTGTAGTTACCTTGACACGCCTGGATTTGATCGGCAGTGAACAACGCCTGTTGCTGTCACGCGCAAACATGGACGCGCACATACACACACCTGCGCACGCACGCGCGTCACCTGTTTCTGCCAGTCAAACAGAGGAAACCTCTAGAGAAAGTGAAATGTCAGCTTTTTCATTTAATGGATACTTTCTCCTCTTTACACAAGATCTGAATGCTTATTTTAAATCTGTTTTTCTTCACTGTTCATGATTTAAAACAAGGAACAGCACAGTATTATACTTATAATTATAACAATAATAATAATAATCAACTTAAAGGGACAGTACATCAGTATGACAATGTCCTGCTCCTGCTAAGCTCTTTGTATTATAGGCTGTTACAGTTGTACTTAGTCTAACTCTCCATTTAGTCGTGTTGAAAAATCCACAAACACATGAACTAATTTTTTTTTTTCTTCCCTGAAATCACCGTCTGACTGGAAGAAAAGCTTAAAATCTTTGGAAATAAAAAAATTCCCTTCTTTCTCGAGCTCCGATCAGGACACCTCCCCCCTGGCTCTGCTTCCCTGACCTTTTTTTTCCCTCAGATCTCTCTTCAGACTTTTCTCTGTGTTTCTCTATTTTCTCCTTGCTGTTCTTTTCATGTGTAATGTTGGGACCTGGAAGAGTTGCATATGAGTTGTGGGGGGCATTAGAGGCCATGTGGTAGGGTAGGTAAGCTTAAGAAGATATGCGTGTGGGTGTGGTGGGTCAGTAAAAATCTAGCATGGAGGGGGTTGAGTCTGGGATGCTGGAGCTAAGTGCCCGGCTTTCCTGATGAGTCGACGGAATTAATCGGACGAAACACGGGTGAAGGAGGTTCCCACTCGACAAACCCCGGTGATGTCCTGGCTCTGGCTGCCCTTCAAGTTTACGTTTTTAAATTGTGGGGGCCAGGAGGGGCCATGTGCTCAGGTCTGGTTGTGATGGCAATTAAGGGTCATAAGATAGCTATGAGCAGGTAATAGGGGCATAAATGGGATGAAGGGTGTCTTCACTAAGATCTTATCCCTTCATTAGGGAACTAGCACTTTATGTTTGGTTTAAATTAGTTTCTTTCCAAGCACACAATGAAGAGTTCAATATTCAATCTTTATTCATTTGTTCATGCAAACAACTTATTTGTAAAATAATTTTACGAAAAAAAAAAAAAAAAAGATTTCCAAGGAGACAGACTATTTCGAACAGAAAATCCAGGAGCCCTGATTCCTGAAGATTTCCTTTTTTTTGCCCCAATTCAGACGACATATCTGAGACTCTCTAACACATCTGTAGAAACAATATTTCAGGTATAAAAGAATAAAAACAACTTAAGTGCAACTGTAAAGTTAAAAAAAGTGAAAGCAGATGAAAAAGTGTGTTTCTCTCGTCACACTGTTTATATAAAAGCATCGTTTCAGAGAGTCTACAGACGCATCGCTTGCATGCTCCTGCTGACCGAGTCCCAGTGGGACGGGTCCCAGGCCAGGAACCAGCCTGTGAAGGTGGGGGGCTCATGGCCTTGTTTCACCACCACCAGAGGGGTCTGCTTGTCCCGCCCGCTCGGGTCAGACTCCACGTACTGTTTGGCTGCAGAAGAGACAAACAAAAAGTTACAACGAGGCTCTACACCTGCTGATGCACGTGGTGGCAGTGACCTCATGTGGCGGACAGAGGTATTACACATGGAACTAAAAAAAAAAAAAAAGAAGAAGCATTGAGCGGATTAGATTAGATTGTAGATTAGATTAGATTAGATTAGATTAGATTAGATTAAATTAGATTAGATTATACTTTATTGATCCACAGTGGGGAAATTCGCACGTTGCAGCAGCAAGACAGAGAATAATACAAATTTCACAGAATAGGTAGGATAGGTACAAATAAAAAATAATAAAGATAGGTATATACAGAAAATATAAATAGTGGTGTGAACTATACAGGACAATTAAGAGTTATAGGATTAGAGAGGAGAAAATATTTTAATGCTTATTTAAGCTTTTATTGGATACAAACTGCAGATATAACTGTAGACTAGGTCTCATAAAACCAGTTTTTAAAATCATTTAATTATCTCACAATTAATGGAAGACATTAAATAAAAGTAAAACCCTCATATGCAACTTTTTCAGAAAAGTCAAGGCTAAATAAAAGAGCTTCAGAAGAGCTAATCTCTGTTCATGCTACATCTTAAAGTGATTGTGTACTGGGAGATTATTGTCCATAGAGTACGCTTCCCCTGAAATCTTCTTTAATAGAGGACTAAACCTTGCTCCTCATACTCTGAGAATGCACATGGAGTGAGTAGTGAATTAACCTAATTTTAACCTTGTTTTCTGCCATCGTAGCATTTTTCAACAAGGCAGCACATCTCGCCAGAACACCGGCACACCGGACAGTTTCTCATTTTAAGGAGCCTCATATTTACAACCTCACCTCAACAAAAGAGACAGATTCTTTTAGGTTTATTGCCTGATTTTGAACAGTTTCCCTCCTTTGTTTTTTTCTTCTTTACACTCTGCTTCTACTTACTGGCTGGCCTTCGTTAGGTGGCTCCACTATGTTTGCACACAGCGATAAATAGTGTAGAATCTGTGTTTACTTTAAAGTTGGAGTCTTTCTGAGCGCCATCTACTGTAGCTAATCAAACAAGCCCCACTACAAAACTCCTCTGTGGACGAGTCTAACCAGAACCAGAAGCTCACCAGATCTGAGAGATTCAGTCCTCTCCACCTCGTTGGCATCCTTCCCGATCCAGACAAACACCTGCAGCAGAGGATCACGTGTTAGAGAGAGAGAGAGTTTGATTGGTCCAGAGATGATCGTTCAGGTTAATACAGCGGCAGCAGTGTACCTGATCCCAAACATCCAGCAGCATCACGTCATCTTCTGCCAGGTCGTCCTGAGTGAACTCTCCTGGAACCTCCTCGATCTGCACCACATGAAAACACACTGCTTATAAAAATGCTCAAACCATTAAACACACGGCAGCTTCTCACAGATCAGACCAAGATCCGTGTGGTCATATGAGAAAGATAACAGCTGACTGATGAGGTGTGGAGGATGTTTCTAATTATGATACACTACCTGGGAATAAACAGAATAGCAGCTTTAATGTGCTTACTCGCGAGTTCAGGTTGTTAATGACCACCGGAGGGCGTTCTGATTATCATTAAGAAATTTTAATATCCGGGATCAGATACTTACGATGAACCGGCCCGTCTTATTGGAGCATCCAAACAGACGAGGAGGGTGAGGCAGGGTCTGACTCTCCAGTCTCTCTGAGGTCTGGTACGCTCCCTTCCCTCCCAACGCCGCCCAGAAGTCAGCTGTCGAAAAAACACACACACAAAAATAAGTACAGACCTTTAAGAAGAAAGCTTTAATTCAGGTGGAGCTGTGCAGCGGTAACACATGTTATGGGAAAAAGAGCAGCGCTTAAAATTAGAACTGTGCTCACTCTGTGTTGGGGGAAGCATTGAAAGTCTTCTTTAATCCACCCCAGCAAACAGGAAAAGTAATTATTACTAATTTAAATTATGAGACATTAAGTCCAACAGGAGTGTGATTCAGTTTCTCAAAACTAATCCTCCGCCCTGATTCATTCCTCTAGAGAACTTTAGTCAGGCTGCTGCAGATGCATCACTGAAGAAGTTTTTTTCGACGACAGGGTTTCATGTCTTCTACGTTTGAAAACCAAAAGTAAAACAATCATCATTGTAACGGATGATGGTGTAAGTAGTACATCTTAAAGGTTTTGTTTCTGGTCAAACAAGAATGTATGAAGTATGGAAAATGGCTGAATACGAGGAGAAGTCCCAACATCTCTCATCCACTCTTTTCTTTTCTGCCACCGGGTTCGGAGATACAGAACCCTGACCTGGAAGAGGGCACACTTCAACAAGAGCTTTGTCCCCTCAGAGATTGAAGCCCTTAATAAGCTTCCACGCTGACTGGCCCAATCTTGATTATATGTTTTCTTCATGCGCACCAACTGTGCAGAACTGTGAGAACAAATTTTCCCCTTGGGGACAATAAAGTATTGTATTGTAAAAAGATCGTTGAGGGGGGCACCGGTGGCCTAGTGGTTAATGTGAGTAGTGGTTAACCTTGACAAAAAGGTTGTTTAGAAGCTTCGAATGAGAACAGCACATCTATTTCAGGTTGCAGTCTTAACAGTGCACAAGTCATCAAAAATGATAACATGCAGCATCTTAGCATCGTGTGTAGTTTTGTTTTTTATACAAGACATTAACAAGCTTCATATGGGCTGAGATAAAACCGGCTATCTTGCTTAAAAACGAAACATTAATGAATCCTTTTTATGGATGAAAATAAAGTTTTTATTGTTTAAAGGAGAAAATGAGGATCTTTGGGAAATATCAGAACTGTTCCTGTCGTCAAACGAGGGGGATTGTTGCATCTGTGTTTGATTGACAGCAGCTGGAGGAGTGCAGGTAAAGTGAGACAGTGACAGAGGGTTTTTTTTTGTGCTGAAGAACTACACATGCATCTATCTCCCAGCTGATATATCTACGTATGTTTACCTTCTCCGCTGCACAGAGCAGGTTACGGAAACACACTCAGTGTATTCTTACCACAGGTAGGTTCTGTACACAACACTGCCAGCCATGCATACGCTGGCTCAGGTCAGAGTTTATTTAAGGACCTGTTATTCCAGCTCGGAGTCACAGCGTGTGTACATGTTTTAAAGGAGAATTCCAACATTATTTTGACATACTAACTAAAAGGTTAGTATGTCACCAGACTCTATTAAAAAAAACAGCAATTTACCTCACAGAGCTCAGGAGTTGCTGGTATGATCCATTGAACAGTTTAGTGTGTAAAAGTGTAAATATTGGTGTTTTGAATGGTGAATCAGATCCTACAAAATATTCCTTCAATGCACATTTAACCTGTCGAGGCAGCAGTAGGCCAGCAGCTCCTAGTGCTCTGAGAGCATAAATTACTGTTTTTGTGAATAGAGTTTGGTGGCTTTGAAGGGGGCGATGTAACGGCTGTTTCTGGTTAAGAAAAGTGATCTTTCAGCTCAAAGATTGATGGTAAGAAGAACAGACGACACATGATTTAATATTGTCTGTAAGAGGTAGACAGTGACCTGGTTCTTTGTCTTCCGTGATGCGTTTGCTGTTGCAGTTCAGCTCTTTACTCATGTACTCGGCTCCCTTTAACTCTTCATCGCTGGCTCCTTTACCCATCCACAGGTAGCCCTGCCCACCGTCCATCTTCAGCAGGTAAGCATCGTTGGAGTTCAGACTGGCTGCCGCAGCATCCACCTGCAACACACACAGGGTTTACAATCTCCTGACAAAATCAGCGACTTCACGTGGTTTAATCACAGTAAGATCCCGAGTCCTGACCTCAGCTATCCTGGTGATGGTGCCGAGGTTTCGCCGGACCTGAAACAGTCTGATCTTAGGAGCGGGGGCCTGACCTCCGTGGCGGGACGTACCATTCTTATAAACGATGAGGGGTTTGGATTTGAAGAGACTCAGCAGATGAGGAGGTTCTTTACCTTGACACACTCTGACCTGATGACACACACACAGAAAGAGAAGGTAGCTTTGTTCAACGGGAGCGGTGGAGACCCGAAGTTTTCTTTTCCACTGCACTTTTTCTGACAGTTTAAATAGAAAGAAACTGGCCTCTGAACACTTAATAGTCCAGATAGACAGGTGTATGAGTCCTTTCAGGCATCTCGTGCACATTCTGTTTAACATACCTGAACTGCGTTTCCTCCCAGCGATCGATCCAGCTGTACGGTCAGGAAGGCCGAGGCTGTGAGCTCGTCTAGAGAGCAGCTCGCTCCCTGCCTGCAGGCCAGAAAGAGACATGTAACACTGATGAGTGCTTTATGATTAAAATGACACTTTACTAACTCTTAAAGCTCTAAGAGCCAGAAGTGAGGCAGTTTTAAGACTCATGTCAAACAGTGACATTGCGCCCGCCAGGTAACCTATGCGCCTTCCTGTGCAAAACTCTTATCTTTCATCAAATCAAGACGGATGAGTAATCGAAAAATACTGTGAGTGTTGATGGAGGCATGAGCTAATCAAACGTTTTTGTTTTTTTGTACCAGGCTGTAAACGTGCTAATTTCTGCTGTAAAAACAGGCTCTTTGAATGGGTGTATATGTGACTTCCTATGCTTCTGCAGCCTGCCTCTAGTGGACACTTGATGAACTTCAGGATTTTGCACTTCCGCGTTAGCTTCATTTTTCAACAACAGAGGTTGCCACTTGGCTGCTGCACCAAAAGAAAGAGCTAAAAGGCTTTAGAGAGAACTGCAGGATTGCTGATAATCGTCTGTAAATTCAACTCTAATAACATAAAGATAAACAGATATAGGAGAGATAATGAATGAGAATCAGTGAGTGATCGTCGTCGTACCAGGTGTAGATGATCTGTCTCTTTCCGTACGTGTACAGGATGATGTAACAGTCGCCGCCGTAAAACTGACCGAAGCTCTTTGAGTCGACAGGAACTCTGCCGCTGCTCTCCACCCTCCAGATCTGACAAAGGAAAGAAAAGTATGTGAGGATAAAAACAGAAAGAGTTCATTTTATAGGTGAGTTACCATCTTAATTTAAATTAAATGTTGTAACTTTCAATCTACCAGAAGTTCTAAATTTTCTTTCACAATAAAAGCAGGTTTTAATCCCAACAGGAAACAGTAAACAGTACAAAACTACAAAATAAAAGCACAAATAAAACAAGTTAGAAAGCTAAAAAAAGAAAAGAAAAGGAATTTGAAACATACAAGTAAAAATGTGATTAATCATGATTAAAATTTAGCATATAAGGGAGGCCGAGGGGTTAGGGTGCACTCCCCATGTGTTGAGGCCACAGTCATCACATGTCATCTGTGTGGCTGCGCTCGCTGAGAGCTCAGTCACCTGTGTGTCTCCGCTGCCGTCGTCCACCATGTTGTACTGAGCTGCCATATGACGGGACTCGTGGAGCTTTGAGGCATCAAACTCCACCTGCTGGATCCTCGCGATCCTCTCTGCGACAACCACCTTCCCGAATCCCTCGCTCTGGTCCCGGTCTCTCCACCCCATGAAGAACTGCTTGAACATGGGGGTCTCTCCACCCTCAGGTAACACTTGGATCTGCAGCAACAACAGAAACAAAACTAAAACCACCTGCAGCTTTTTTTATGCTCGGACAGGACATTTGCTCAAAAAAAATCCAAAGTGAAAGTGAACCTGTGTGTTTTCTGGGTAGCGCATCTGTTTGATGAAGCCCTCGGCTGTTTTCATTGCCTCTTTTCTCTCACCAGGGTTGGCTTTGTGCCCTGTTGGTTCACAAATAAGAACAAACTGATGTTAACATGAAATACTCAGAAAAACCTGCTGCACAGACACACACACTATAAAGCAGGGAAAGCTGATCCTGAATCTCTCGGATGCTCCTGTCTGATTACCTTTCCATACAAATATCATCTTGTTTTTGCCGTGATCTAGGATGAAGCATTCCTCTGAGATCAGGTCGGTCTGGAGGAAAGGGTTCTCCTCCTTCACAACGCTCACTTTCATGGATCCTGTTGCATCAGAAACCTGGAACAAACCAACACAAATAAGTTGAAGAGCTGTTTCATATAGAGCAACAATATGTAGGAATTCAGTTTGGTGCGCTTTGGTGCCCACCAAAGGTCTCTGAGTGGATCTGCATTGGGACACACATAGTGCCGTTATGCCTCACTCTCTTTGACAACGTGCATCTGTTTACAAGCAGACAGTGTGAAGCCAGCAAAGACGTTGTGAGAAGCCAGGTCGACCGACAAGGGTCAGTAATAATGCCGGATTTTGGGGATCGAGGGTTCTGATTGTCAGACCAGCAACCAGAGAGGCTCATTGCTATCTGTGTGAGATGTGTCATGAATGTGTGATGTGAGGTGTGATGTTTGAAAGCTCAATGGACTCAGTGGTTTTTGGTGTTCCTGTGTATGTGAATATAGTACCATGTATAGTTTGGCCATTTTCCTGTTGGACACGTCTGCCTCTGTGTCGTCATCATCGTTTCCCTCTGACAGCTGCGGCTTCACTCCAAGAACCTGTTAGCATAAAACATTTAAAAATGACAAGCTCTTAATACATCCATGCATTATTCAGGCAAGTTAAACCACAGAAAAACACAACAGCATCCATTTCAGGCAGCAGGACATTAGAGCATACTGAGGTAAACCAAACGATATTACTTTACTTTGAACCTCTGTGGTTCATCATGATGTTGGAAAATATTCAGAGGATAGACCTTTAAAATGATTTACAAAAACAAGGATTGACTGTCAGATCACCATTAAGGAGGCTGGGATCTGTTAAAGGGGCAATTCAGCATTTATTAAAAGCATCAGGATTTCTGAAAATGTTGGTATGAATATTTATATTTATGCCCTAAAAAGGATGACATCATTCATGGGCTGGAGGTTTCGGTTGAGTGTTTTTCTTTTATTTGAGACCTGAGACAGATGTTTAAGGAAGTAACACAGATGTTGTGTAAAAGTATTTACATCAGTTAAGGTGGAGGGTTCACTTCCTTCTTCTACGACCACCAGCTCCGCTCGGGCGTTCCTCTCGTTGTCCCTGATCGCTCTGGCCACCTGTGCTGCCTTCAGGCGCTCAAACCTGTTGCACTTGGTCCCACACCACTGATAGATCCTCTACAGTAAACACACACAGAGTCAGAGTGTACACATCTGAACAGCTCTATAGATTAATCTTCCCTCCCTTAGCAAATATTGAACGTCCTCACGTCTCCGAGGTCCACGATGAAGCAGTCCCCACTGTTGAAGCTGGACCAGCTGAGGGGGACCTGCGTCGCCCGGACCACCCGCCGGCCCTTGATGTGGAGGAGTCTCTTTGCCGAAAGGTCATTGGTGATCACGTGATGGAAACCTGAGGACACGCCCCCTGTCTGAGGAGAAGAAAAAGAAAACAGTTAAAGTGCCTTCATTCATCCGTCTGTTTACTTAAGACTCAGAGTTCTCTTCTGTCCCATGAGTCACTTTTTCTGTGGTCAGAAATCCTGCTACAGAGGTATGAAAAACACATGATTCAGACATGAAAAACAAAAGATCTGTAGACTTAAAAACAAACTTTTAACTCAAGAGTGAAATCATGAACGTCCTTGATGTGCACGCCCACTTCTCTTTTTAAGGCAAGGTATTCAAATTGATCCATACCTTGTACGTGATCCCTCCCTTGAAGTAGCTGCTGAAGGCCGTGGACTCGACCCCCTGCAGTTCTCTGTACTGGACCGGCTTCCCTCCCAGGTAGTCGTCCAGCTGCACAGTGAAGATGGCCGCCGCCGTGCTCTCATCTTGACTGCACTCCTTTCCTTTGGAGAGAAAAAAACAACACAGGCTCAAACCATGCTGGAAAATATGAAATGTTTCTTTTTCCTTTTTAGTAACAGGATAAACAGAAACGTCTGTTTATCTGTCGGTCAGTTTAACCCGGATCATCACAGAGTCGTTGGCTGGATTGAGTTCAGGAAAGGGATGAATGTGGCAGGGGTGCAAGGAAAGAAACATTACTCATAGCTGCATCCAGAATGAACCAACAGAACTGAAGTGTGACGACAAAGGAAAGTAACAGTGCCTTCACAAGTAGGTTACCACAGCTGAACACAGTCGACTTCAGACAGAAAGGGAAAAAAATGTACATCCTGTTTCAGTCCAAATGTGCAAACAGAAATATGCCCTACAGTGTTAGAGCTCTATTTACAAAATAGGTCGAAGTTGGTACCTGAATCCCTTGGAACTAAACATTCTCCTTAAAGAGTTTTTGTCTTTAAAGTTGCCAAACCCTATTGATGAAAACAGATTTTTTTTTATCTATAGTATCTTTTCTTGTTCTTCTTCGATGGTTTCATCTGTTTGTGTTTTATTTTTGTTATGACTGTGAGTCATTTGTGTATTAAAGTGTGTTATTTTTGGATCTGCCTTTGTGGGGCTTTGTGCTCTTTTTCTTGTTTGTAGTGCCCGCCACAAAGCTGCAGGTTCCCACCCTCAATTAGGAAAAAGGATGACGGTGCACGCCGGCCACTGATTGGATAGAAACTGGTGCTCCGTGAGTGCCATGAGATACCTGAGGGCGCCAGTTTTGAAAGGGGGCTCAGGAAGTTGAACGCTGCCCTCCTTCTTCCTCACCTCCAAAGAGAGACATTTTGTGCTTTTGGAGACAGAGAAATAGTGCCTTGTTTAAATTGAGATTTATTGTTTTGAGATTAAGATTTATATTCGGTTGTACGGTCCTATGTTGTAGGGGATGATGACCTTTTTTTTTCCATAAATCTTTTCTCCTGTTTTCCTGCTAGGGAGTTAAGCAAGAGGCCTGCATTTTCTTTTCTTTATTTTATTTGTTATTTGTTTTATTTGTTAAGTTAGTTTGTGTTTTTGACTTAGATGTTGTTTCATTATTTTTGGCCGGTGTTCTCCCTCAAGGTTGATTCATTTTGTGAATACATTTCTTATTGTGGACTGTAAATTCCTTTGATTGTGTCTCATCATTGGGAGTGTGGAAGTAGAGGGTCAAGTTTATGTTATGGCTGGTCTATCTTCAAAGAAAAGACTGAAAGACAACACCATGTGTATATAATCACAAGGCAAAGACGACCTAACAACAGTGTGACGGTTTCTGGGTGACAGCAGCATCAGCAGAAACGTCAAACACTCAAACTGCACTTAAAGTGTTTTTTCTCACGTTGTGGTTCGAACCAACAGGAAGGCAGAGATGTGCATTTGCATGTATGTTGGTTAATGATTCATGCTGATGGTCCACGCAGAGTAAACATCTTTAGTGGGGCATCAGAGGAGGAGGAGGAGAAGGATTTAGTACTACAGGAAGAAAGTACACTCACTGACCCACAATATCCTGATCTCAAAAACAGCACATTTTACAGTTCTGCGTGTGAAAAGAAGGACAGGGTGCAGAGCCTGTGTCATCACTTCCACAATTTCTAACTGTAGTTTCTTTAAACAGAACCTTTTACGGTTACAGCTGCATCTTTTTTGAATAAGATATGCCTCAAAGACTCCACAGGAAAAAAGGTTGAACAGTTCGACTCCAGGACTCCTGGGACTTTCTACAACAATACAAAGAAGCTCTCAACACCGCATCCACCTCCTACTCACACCTCATTTACTCCGGCTCCTCAAACCCCAAGGCTCTCTTTTCTACCTCCTCCATAGCTCCTCTGACCCAAGGCATCCCCCAAGGTTCACTGCTTAGTCCTCTCCTGTTCATATACTCGTTCATATACTGTAACATAATTTGCTACGCTGATGACATCCAGCATTAAATCTCCATTAATTCCATCACCACAGCAACCCGCTCCACACTAACAAACTGCCTCACTGAAATAAAAAATGTTACCAATTGCCACACGCTAAACTACGAGAAATCTGACATGTTAGGAAAGAAAAACAAGATCTGCACACCAAGAAGCTCTTGTTTGAATGATTTATTTAGTAACGTTTTGAGCCTACATGCTCTTCCTTAGGTTGTTTTTTCTTTCCTTACCTATTTGTGTTTTTTGGGATTCACCACCCACTGAGGGATGAATGTGTCTTTTTTTAGTTTTACACATCTGACATGTTAATCATCGGCCCCAAAGTCCACTCACTAATTCAGCCTTACAGTTGACAACTCCACCAGATCTTCTGCAATTATACAATTCACTGAGCAGATGCTTTTATCCAACATCACAGAGTAAGTACAACACAAGCAAGGATCTAGCTCTGAGTCTGATTGGACACACAGGTGCTGACAGGAAGTGACCAGAGGCAGAGCACAACATCGACAGCTGTTCTTGAGAGCTCTAATCAATATAGGAACCATCTTAAAGTCGTCGTTATCAAACAAAACCATCATCATTACCATCATCATCATCATCAATAATATCAAAACCATCGTCATCATCATCATTAAGGTCGTAGGTATTCATGAAAGAGCTGGGTCTTTAGCTTTTTCTGAAAGGTGCAAAGGAACTCTGCGGATCTAGTGGAGTTTGGAAGTCCATTCCACCACCGGGGGGCGACAGAGGAGACGAGTCTAGTTAGCGTCTTAGGGCCCTGTTGTGAAGGTTGGATCAGACGATCTTCCTCCCCACATATCCGTTATCTTGCAATCATTTCTGACAGCAACCTCTTAACCTCTTAATATGTCATGCAGACATCACATATTATGACTCATATAGTAAAACTGTCTGAACATCCAGCAGCTACACAGACACAAACCCCATTGATGTGAAGACATGTTGGTGTCCATTAGATGAATAAGAGTTCTCATTTGTGCTCTCTCTTTGTAAAATATTTTTAATAATCTTTGCAGTAGTTCTTATCAGCTATGGAATATGTTTCTGCTCATGTTATCGCTTACACAGCACTTGTGGTGTCTTGAAACCAGGAAATGGAGGGTTTCCAGTAAAAAAATACCCAAAGCAATAATCATATTTTTCCTGTTATGCTCCCAAAGAGCCTTTTCTTTTTTACACCGTGTCCAATTACAGCTAATTTTCTGATCAGACAGGTCCCATACCATCGCTTTCTCTTGTAATCTTCTCTCAGGGTGCACACAGATTGAAGCATGTGCAGAACGCATTAAAAATTAATTCCTGTTCACTTTTCTACAAATGGATGCGACATGAAGAGCACTTAAGAGAGAGAGAGAAGAGTCTGAAACATGTTGGGAAAAACATTCACGTGATGAATGACAGCAGCATTCCTCTTTTGAATGTTTGAGGACATTTAAAGCTGTCATTGAGTAATGAAAGTCAGATAATGTGCTCACAGCGCTACATCTGACCTTGTTAAACCTCAATTTAGTATTTATTGAGAAACACAACCACAGCTATGTATACAGAGAGTTATATTTGGGGAAGTGCAAGCAGACATGAGGTTAAGTTGATATCCGCACACTACTCTCAACCACAATGTTTCGGTACCTCTGAATGTAAAGTATGCTTAAACTATTTCCACCACCTTTATCTTAAGTAGATAATGCTCTGCCTACTGTGTGTGCACAGGTGAGGCTTGTTTGGTCTTACTAGGAATGTCTCTCAATCATCAGCAGAAACATGTGCGTGACATGTGAGTCACTCACCACAAAATCCACATGTATAAAGGTAAAACAAATAAATCCAAAGTAATAACAGGCACAAGAAAAGAAAAGACAAACAGTAACAAACATTTAAAAACTGGGAAATGTTGTCACAGTTTTTACTGCGCTGCATGCTGCACACAGAGTCTGGTTTTCAAACGGGTTCTTTGAGGTCTGCAGGCCAAAACTACAAGAGAGACAAGAGAAGGACCTCTCGTCACCTTTAAAGCTGCACAAGTTGTCAAAAGATACAAAGATATTTATGATGAACACTTGGCATGAGAAATTGTGGTATATTGTAAACCCAAAAAAATGATCAAAAAAACATTTTTTAACCAAAGTCTATCGATGGAAAAGTCAAGGGTTAAAAAGTGTATGTTCACATTATGTGTTCACAGTGTAAGCAGCAAATTAACCTGAAGTTTGCATCATTATTACAAATCAAACATTCTGATTAAACAACAGTAAATGTATGTCCTTTGTGTTTGAATCACTGCCTGATGCCTGTCCTTCCTCTCCAACAAGCTTCATTGTTGTTCAAAAACTGTCAAAAACGCATCGCTGCACTTCATTGTTTCTGACAAGTTCCTGTATTATCATGAACCCACCCAACATTCATTTTAATAAATAACACCTTGAATGTCCTTAGAGGTTAAACAAAATATATTGCTTTGTTTTTAACGACTCATCCATGAACAGATTAAACTGAATCCCACACAAACTCACATGCTGTCCAGCGACACAATGATTCATCCACCACAGGAAATAGTTCCCATGATTATTTGTCTGCTTGCATTTTTTGAAATTCCTCTCTTTTTATTTTTATTGAACTACTTTCTGTTGTGTCGACAAAAACCCAAACTTAATTCCCATCACTTGCATGAGAGTGGAAATCTCCAAGAAGCTAGAACTAAGTGCATGGCTACAAACCACAGCCCGGAGACGTGAGTCTTCCACTTCCTCACACGGTCCAGTTGCTACGTGCCTTTTTGTGTGAAACACAAATAATATGTTGGATCCAAACTAACGAGAAAACATGCATATCCAAACCAAATTGGGCAAGTGCTGAGTCGAGCGAAACTAATCACTTAAAACAAAGAGGAAGACGGCTAGCACACTGCAGGGCTCCGGTGTTCCAGAAATCTGTTTCACCAGGGTGACAGTCCGAGCACACCTGCTCTTCGTAAAGCGGGTACACACTACAAAGATTGTCTGATTCTTCCAAAAATGATCTTGCCAGATTCTCCTGTGGCGTGAGGTGTGTTAAGAGAGATTTTAACCTCCCCGATGTGCTCGGAAGATGGCCGCCAGGTGCCGCTCCGATTTGAAATCTTAAATATTAAACGTCTTCGATATTTACTATCAGATATCCTGATGTGTGGGGAGAAAAAGGAAGCAGGCTGACTGAATCAGGCAGCACAACAAACATTACCATGACGACAACAGCAAACACGAAGCATAAAGTTAGATGGACGTCATTAATGGAGGGGCAACTTGTTGATTTGTGGTAACAACACGAGTTATATTACAACGTGTCTGTAAAACAAACCTCAACCCAACTGACGAGGAAAGGAGTTGGACCAAAATGTTTAGGGTGTACCAGCTAACAGCTAGCCACATTTAGCTCGACCAACATGTTTGTTTACTCTTAAATCGTGTTTGACCGCGTGTGATTACACGTTTTGATAGTCAACACTTTGGTTTTGTTGCACACCACACACTGTGAGAACTGAGCTGTTAATCTGTCATGTTTTGTCGTCATGTGTGGGGATGGTTTTAGATTTTAAAAAACTTTTAGTGTGTGCCAGTCCTAAGACTCCAACCCTATAACGTCCCCGAGTGTATGTGCCCGTCCCCAAACCTAACCGAAATAATTTGTCCAGCAAAAATCACTTCAGCAACATATTGAAATGTTTCTAACACCAAGATATTTATTTTAAAATGAGTCGTTTCCATCCAGTGACAGGAGCGTGTAGGTGCTAGTTCTAGTCTCTTGTTGCTTTACCACAAGTGTGTGAACATTTGTGCAGCCCTGACAGAAACACAGTGTATGTGTGTGTGTGTGTGCACCCGTGGTTACGCACACACACACACACACACATACAGAAGCTGCTCGTGTGGTAATTTGCCAGTTTGTCGTCGTGTCACTGACTGACTGCAGGCTGAAGAGTCGCTCAGAGAACAAGTCGACAAACTGGAAGAGTCGACACAAAAGGCTCCTGAATGAACTGAAAATAGATCTGTCATCATGTGAAGGATTAGATTCTGTTTAATCATTCTGGTCTGGGTTCCAATATTTGAACCTTTAATAATACTATATTTAAATTCTGTTTTGAAAGTGTCAGCATCATCTTTACATTATTGCACTAAGAAGCCAGTTAGTGTTTCTTTAGAGCCCGGTGTAATAAACATCAGCAGGACATTATCGACACGCACTTTTGCTCCTTTCACTTCCTTTTGAGTACTTCATGCGGTTTGATCTCATCATTAATCATGCAACAGAAGAGTAGTAGAGCAAGTCAGAAAAAAGAAATAATAAGAAGAGGAAGACTTTTTTCTTTTAAACTCTGAATGTCGGACCGAAGTAGAACATGCAGTAACAAAAAACATAATAAAGACTGTTTTAAGAACAGAGTCAACATGTCAGAAGAAAATAAAAATGTGGATAATAGAGAAGAAACAAACACATAAACTGAAACTCTAAGTGAACGATGCAAAAGAGAGTTTGAATTGTAAGGATTTTTTGGGGTATTTTAAGAATTACCTGCCTTAAAATGTGCACTACGACAGCTGGAGACCTTGAAATGGGACAGAGCCAAACATTCACACTCACACTCATACCTACAGGCAACTTAGGCTGCGCTTACATTGCAGGCAGAAGTGAACTGAATCTTGTTTTTTTTTTGCTGCTATTGGACTCAGGTGTGATTTTTTAAAGACAGTGTGAACAGTACAAGTCACATATTTGGGCCAGTTTTGTAAGTAGATTCCCACAGGAGTCGGATACAGGCCACATTTAAAGAGAACAGACAAACAAAAAAATCAGATCTGAGCTAAATTGTCCGATTAGAGCATAAGGGGCTTGCAGTGTGAGAGCAGCCTTAAAGACACCAAAGGAGCATGTTGTTGGACTGAAGGAGGAAGACGAGAGAGAGCATGCAAACTAAACACACCCACACATTAGCCTGTTTTCAAAACCAGCTGCTGTTTACTAATTTGCATCTTGAATTTAAGCAAAAATCAAACGTACTACTAGTCTAGTAGGCGGCTTCAAAAACAGCCCTGCACCTGATCGGCGTGGGATTCAAACCTGGAAGCTTCCTCTTCCTGTGAGCCAACCACTGCACCTCCACTGTGCAGCCAGAATAAAACCAGGTTGAGTTTAAAGGCAGGGTATTTCTTTAAGTATGCAGTCAAGATGTCAAAACATCTTCCTCCTCTGATTGAATATTTATAAAGGCAGGCTTTGAGACAGAAAGTCTGACTTCTTCCTAACCTTTTGACCTTATTCTTTAAAGACAACATTTAAAACATTGTTTTGAAATGTTTTTCTACTCGTCCACAGGAACAAGATCTTTACTAATCTGTTTTGTCACAGTCTGCAGTGTTTCTGTAGAATCTGAAGTGACAAATATCTGACTCTGCATCACTTCCCTCTTTTCACATCTCTGTAAAGCTTCATGTTGTTACGTCCCATCATCAGTCATTACACAGAGGAGACTTAGAGACGCACAGAAGAAAAGAAATGAGGAGGGGAAGAATTATTTTTCCATTTTGTATTTGAAGGATGAAGTCAGAACACCAACTGGAAGTTAAAATGCAGAGAATAATGTTGACATTTCATAGGGTTAATGTGTTTGATTGTGTTTGTTTGTCTTTCTGTCTTATACACCTATATAAAAAATGCCTTCACTAAAAACATCTTTAAAAAAAAAGAAAGATTTTGAGAATGCATTCAGACTGGAGATGAAATATTTAGAATAAGGTCCAGACGCTAGAATAAAGTCGGAGTGTCAATAATAAAGTTGTGATTTTTGAGATCAACAGAGGGGCTGCTTGTCAACAGGCAGGGCAGGGAACTGTCTCAGGCCGCAGACCAGTAGGGTCACTTTAAACCTCAGCAGTGGTCCTAAATGTGCAATGACAGTAGAAAACCTCCCTAAGGCCCCGTGTCCACCTAGAGTCTTTTTCTGAGCGCCAGCGTCTTTTTTAAGTGTTTTCAATGAGTAGCGTTTTTTTCCAAGTGGCCGCTCTGAGCTCACAAGTTGAAATTGGAGCCAGACATGATGGTTTGAGGCCCTTCAATTGGTTTTTGCCTCAGGATGACACAAAAGACGAAGAACAAAATAAAACTCTAAAATAACTCATTCATTCTTAGAGTAATCCTGATTTATTTTGTTGTTTCTCTGTCTCGGAAATTCAAAATTATTTATGATTTTTTCCCGTAATGCAAGATTTAAAAAAAAAAAACCTGAACCTTTGCACTCTAGATTAGATCATCTCCAGCCTGATAACTTGATGATGATCTATTTATAGTTACATTATCTTTATTATCAGTCATGCTGCTGAGGAAGCCCCGGAGGGTTTCTGCAGAATCTGATCTGCACCACTTTCAATTCCTGCATGATGAGCTGATTATTGTGACTGCTTCTGAGTAATTGAATCAAACTTTTCTTCATGAACATAGCACAGAGGCAAACTTTAATGTCTTACCGAGCCAGTAGTGAAGGTGGTAGAAGAAGCTGTCCCTCTGTTGAGCGTGTTCAGGATCACATAAGCGTCCCCGGTGTAAAAGTTCCCGTGCAAGCTCTCTGGAACAGGAACCAGCTCCAGACTCTCGATCCTCCAGATCTGCAGGCCGGCTTTCTGACCCGCCGTGGCGAACTCTTTGTGATGAAGGACCATGTTTTGTTCTTGCTGCTGCTGCTGCTGAGAGGCTCGGAGTGATGATGAGGATGATGAGCTGAGAGGAAGGTGTGACGGCTAAGAGCAGGAGCACACTGACGCTCTGTTCCTCACTCACTGACTGACTGAGTCTGTCTGCAGAAGCTTTTCCACTTCTGCTTTCATACAGCCCTTAAACACACACACACACACACACACACACACACACACACACACACACACACACACACACACACACACACACACACTCACAGAGTAGGTGTGTCCACATGCTGCCTACACACACACCAGCATCCTCAAACACTCATGCATGAATGAAGCCTTTCAGCACACACACACACACACACACACACACACGCACACACACACACACACACACACACACGCACACACACACACACACACACACACACGCACACACACACACGCACACACACACACTTGATTTCATAAGCCATGGAAGAAAAACAAGAAGTAAGATCAACATAAATCGTGCAACTTCAAAATATCTACACAGAAATCTGGTCCAGTAGAATCAGACATCATGTTTCGTTTTAAAGCTAAAGATACACTTTTTTACGTCACATGGGCTCGGCGACATCGACGAAGATCTTTTAATAATAGTCAAGCAGGGAAGGCTAACACTTCAGCAAACAGTTGTCTGTTCACACTTCTAGCAACATAAGCGTTCACTTGGAGAGGTTTTTGTGTGCATTGATGAATGTTAGGCAAATATTTACTCTTTTTTTTCTGAGCTCTATATTTCTGCTCACGTTTCTGCTCGTGGTGCACCCAAACTGAATTCCTACATTGTTGCTTTTATTTCAGTCTGGTCTATAAGCAGCTACAAAGGAGCTTTACGACTGTCTCTGAACAATTCGCTGTTTTTAAACTCACCTCTTCGTTAATGATTGAAGTACGCAAGAAGTAAAAGCGTTAATGATTTATTTAGTAGTATTTAGTCTCATCCTCTTCCTTTACTAGTTGAGCATTACTCAAAGAGGAACTTTACCTCATGATTTGATTTAACTGCATCACACAGGACATATAAGTAAGACAAAGAGTACAGGGGACATTATTCAAGCTCCTCAGAGGCGCTCAGTCAGAATGACATAAAAGAAGTGACTGCATTCAGTGTGACATGATGTGAGCGATGCCTTCATGTGACGGACAGTCATCACAGTCGATGAGCATTTCCATCATGATCAAGAGTCCTACACAACAGCTGATTTAATTCCTTCACGGTCTCAAGGTGTTTCACGTCGGATGATGTCGTGATTAATCACGAGAAGAAGGATGACACAACAGCTTCCTTAAAAGGGAGAATACATTTCAATGGTTCCGTCTGCAACACAATGATGTGGGGGGAAAAAAGGGATCTGAGCAAAAGGTTATTTTTTGGTGCTTTTTACAGTCGCGCAAAACTCTGTAATATGTTCTGAAAACCAGTGCCATCTTTGTTTACGCAACAAAACTTGTGTTCTGTTCTCCAGTACGTTCTCCTTCGATCTTTTGTTGCTGACATTGTGAACGTGTCAGACTCATAGAGCCATCTGTTCCTGCAGGGGGCGCTGGAGTCCCATCGATGGCGGTCTCCACCCTAACAGTCAACCTAACGACAGGCTGAGAGCTGGAGCTGAGGCAGGTTTTAAGCCTCTTGACAAACCGTTACATCCCTCCCACCTGTCAATCATGTCAGCTACACACCTTATTGTGAATAACTCTTATCCTTCATCAAATCAAAACTGATGAGTCATCAAAACATTCCCCCCCCCCCCCGTACAGAGTGTGCCGATCCAAACATGAGCTAATCAGGTTTTCTGAACCAGGCTGTAAACATGTTAATCTCTGCTGTATAATACAGGCTTTTTAGAATGGGTGTGTATTTGACTTCCTGTGCTTCTACAGCCAGCCTCTAGTGGACACTCGACGAACTGCAGGATTTTTCACTTACGCATTGGCTTCATTTTTTAAAAACCGAACGTTGCTGCTTGGTCAAACTACATGACGCATTATTTAAAGGTTAAGTACTCTCATCAAAGCGTCGGACTCTGTTTGCTTCATCCAACACTCTCCCCAAAAAGAGACGTTTATACGTTTAGAAAACACACCACAGGTAGCCACATTTTAAAACTTTATTCATGCTATTGCAACAAAGAGTCACTATGACAAACAACCAAAAAGAGTTTAAATGACAGAAGAGGTAGGACTCTAAAAAAATGCTTTTTAAAACGTTAATGAGGATTATTAAACGACAAACAAGATTAGAAATCAAACGGCTTCTCTTTAAATCTCACTCAGTACAAAGGTTACAGTGTGAGTCTATCAAAACTTGTATGAAGATATTTTATTGTATTTTCTGTATTCACAGGCTGGTGACATTAATCATACAAAACTAGACTCACTAGATGATATGAGGAGGATTTATTATCATAGATAAAAAAATACTCAGTGTTTTAGAGTTTCGTCAACAAAATAAGTTCTGATTTTGCACAAAAATATTCCTTACTATCATTCAAACATGACGTAGAAAATGTTGAACACATGTTGAAGAATGTGTGATTAGTGAACAAAGTGTGCAAAGAAACATGTTAGCAAAACAACCGCCTTTAAATCACAGCGGAACCACAAATAATGACAGGACTTTGATCAGCAGGACAGACAGAGCAGAATATACGATGCATTCAGGGAACATACAGAATACTTGGAATTTCTGTTTGCAAAAAATAAAATAAAAATATGATTTATAATACTTAAATTACATTAAATAAAAACAAAACAGTCCTTCATGACGACCTGAAAGCTTCAGTGGTTTACTGTTCAGTCAACGTTTCTGAGATTAATCGTGTACAATAAATTATCAATTACAAGTTATTTTTATTTCTAATGTTGTGAAACTGAAATTAAATGTCATCACTACTGTGATGTAGTGGTTTTGCTAGCTGGTTTTGCTATGATTTTTTTAAAGTCACAGTAGCTTTCCGAGCTGGCTAGCTTCATTGCTATAGGATGGATGAGTTGTTATAACGGAGAACAAATAACGGCCTGTTTGTGAAGCAGCTTATTTAAACAGGATTTTAAAGAAGCATCTGTAAACATCGGTTAGAGTAGAGGTTATGCATTAAGACTGACGTTTTGCTAATGAGCAAATCCAACGATTGCAGGGACTCCAAATTAAAATCTAACTAGGATTTATTAATGCTGGAATGACTGAACCTTTACGTGGAATTCAAACGACTTCAAAAGCCGGGCCACATTTTCTTCACATTCTTTTGTGTCTCACTGAATTGCTCGACCAGCATCTCCTGTGTTCAGTGAGTTAAAAGTACGGTTTCTGTTAGTGGAGTCTGGGGGCTTTAAAGAAGGTGAGGCAACACTTTAGATTAAGGTCACACCATTCCCCATTAACTCGTCGCGTAATTTGTTAGACGACAAATTAACTTAAGAGGACATTCATTAAGAGACACTGGAATAACCATGAATAGCCATGGTTTGGTAGAGCAGATTTCTGAAATGACAGGTCTCATCACATTATCTCATTAAAATAGTGCAACAGGTGTGCCTTCATTTCAGAACAATGTAAGAGACAGGAAACTGCTTTCACATCGACGATAATCCAAACACCAAAATACTACAGTGTATAAATCAGCAGATGAAACAAAAAGAGAAACACCAAGAGTCAGTTGAGCTTATCTCACAGTACCTCATAAAAATAATATCAAAGTACACTTTGATGATCCTTCATAGAGTCTCACACTCAGTACTAAAGGAATAGGCTGTAGAGGACTTAGGACTGCGCTAAATGTGCATTTTAAATAGATTTATAAAGTGCATTATGGTATGATAGCTAGTCAAACACTTCTTTGATCCCCTCCATCTGCTCAGGAGAATAAAAAAAATAATAATAGGGGATTCTATAAATGGAGGTGTTGCCCCGATAATTGTAACTGTTGCCCTGATACTTTAATGCTGTTAAACACTAGATTAGATTAGTTAAACTTGCATCATGTTAATTTGATGTTTTAAATGAGTTTTCCCCCGAATGAAACTTCAATATCAAGCTTAATATTTAATATTTAAGTCGATAATTAGGAGGATTCACAAACAGTAGCTTCACTTATAATAAATAATTTTGTTTTCTCTTAATCAAAAAGAAATGGTCTTTATTTGCAACCCTAAAAGCAAAAAGTTTTGGATGCCAGGTAGAAATCAAACAGAGATAGTGGACTTTAAAGGTCACATATTCTCCTCCTCTTCAACCAGTGTAACTAAGTCTCAGAGCTCCTCAAAACATGTGTGTTAAGTTTCTTGTTCTAAATCCACTCTGATCCTGTATTTGATCATGCCTATAAACTCCTCTATTTCAGCCCTGCTCAGAACAGGCTGTTTCTGTGTCTGTACCTTTAAATGTAAATGAGCTGTGTCTGACCACGCCCCCTCTCTGGAAGGGCTTGGGTGTCTCGGTCCATGTCCTATTGTTTACGGTGAGAAGGCAGACTCAACAAACGCCTAGCTGTGGGAGTGTCACCCACCTGGGGGAGGGGTTACTGCCCTTTGTGATGTCATGAAGGGAAAATCTCCAAATGGCCTGTTTGAGCACACATTTTCTGAAAAGTGGAGCAGGCAAAAGACAGATAGGATGGACTTTTCTCATCATTGGGGGGTTTGTAGACGGACTAGAGACACATACTGGTGTACAAAAAAGTTTCCGGAAAAAAGTGGTTTAGGTTATTTTGTGTAATATGTGACCTTTAAAAAAATTAAAACTGTCTACTCTGCTCCATTTAGAGGAAGAATGTGCAACATTTTAAACATAAATAAAGCAGATATCAAGTATATCTTCTTTTTACATCACGGTTATTCTGTGTCAATTTTCATAAAATGTGAAGCTACGAGCTAACACAACAGGCCACAGGCAACTGCAGCTCAAGCCGAGGACAATTTCCTTGGATCAAAAAGTCGCACACTCTTCCTTTAATTGATTTTTCTTTCATATCATCCAAACCTCTTTTTGTAATTAGGGTTGTAGTAAAGTGGCAAACAGGGGCGGCTGTGGTTCAGTGGGTAGAGTTGTCGCTTCTCGACCAGTAGGTCGAGGGTTTGATCCCCAGCTGAGCAACATGTCCGATGTGTCCTTGGGCAAGACACTTAACCCCTGCATTGCTCCCGCTGCTTCAGTGGCGGTGTATGAATTGATTAGTGTTGCACTTACTCTCTGATGTAAGTCGCTTTGGATAAAAGCGTCTGCTAAGTGAATTGTAACATTATGAAATATTATTATCACAGACTCATTATTGAAAACTTCAGGGCAGTAAAGTTTAACACTGATGGGTGTCTGGAAAAAAATTATGACATTCAAAGACTGATAGCTTTTTAACTTTGGCAGATTTGTCTCTCTAGACGCATCAGACACATTTTAAACTCTTCTCTGTGAAATAAAGTTTTGTAACAAAAACAAAGGGAATGTTTTTGCTTATTTCTAAGCTGAATAAAATGTTTCCATGAAAAACGTGACTTTCTGACATTAGTTTGGAATTATTTTAGTATTGAGTTTTTGTTAGTTAGACGCTGCAGGTGGAGGAGGAGAGAAAACACGGTGAAACATTCGAGGCTAGCGTCAGCAGCAGGAGGACAGCGGAGGCGTTTACTCAACAGGAAATCATCGCTCTGATGGAGGTGGTGTTTCCTCCGCAGTCCACGTACTGATACATCTCCTGAGACACCTGCTCTGCGTGACCGAAATACGTGGTGGTGACGGTCACTCTGACGAGGACGGAGAAGGACACAGTAAGAAAACACACACAATGTTTGATTTAATGATGATCAAAACGTTCAATACTCTTAAATACCATGTGTTTTAAAACTATAAAGCGATCATATCGCTTAAAAACAAAAATTATTCAGTACTTTTATTCTAAGGTTAACTCAGCTGCCTGAGTGATGTCTTAATTAGACCCATACGCTGGCCACATTTCTGTACCAAAGTTGCCAACATGTTTGTGTACTTAAGGCAGTGATCAGGAGTTTGCCAGCAATTTTTTGGTAATTTAAAAACATGACATTACCCAAATAACCCAATAATATGGGCAGATATTAGCATATCCAGTGACTATCGGTTTGGGCTAATTTTACCGCAGATAAGCGCCACTATTACTCGATTTATACATCAGTGAAAAAGCATTTCATTGGAGTTTCATTGTATTACACTAGCAGTTCTCGTTCACCAGCAGAGGGCGCTGTATGGATTACAACAGGCATCATCACTCTCCAGAGTGTCAGGCGGTAAATGAACGTACATGCTCAGTTACTTTCCAGTTGAGTGACCGTCTGTTCTTCATTATAAATCTTTTCCACAAGTGTTTGATAACTGCATTTGAGGAATCAACACAATAAATGTCTAGATCTAGCTATTGCTACAGATTGAAGATAGATCTCAGAAAGATATCAGGCGATATATCCAGATTAGATTTTTTTCCCTCCTTAATATAGAAATAAATATCGTCTCATATTGGTCGGGCCAGACCCAATATTGGGTGTCCAGGACTTCTATTTCTCATTGCCGTGGCATTGAAACAGGTATCATAACTAAGTTCAAGTTTCTGGTATCATGACATCCCCAGTGTTGATCAAGCTTAGAAGAAAAGGACAGAACTTACTGCATCATCACGACGATGTTGTGGACCTTGATGGTTTGCAGAGTGCAGTAATCACTGGGAAATAAAAACAACTGTGAGTAAATACTAAAAAGAATACATTTAAAGATTCCTCTACCCACTTACTCGTCTTGGCTGGGATGGGGTTTATGAGCCAAAAAAATCATTGAATTACCAGTATATCTAAAAGTTATGCTCCATAATTTACATTTTGTAACATCAAACAGTCGTTTTCCTGAATTCTGGTGTCAGTTTGTGGTTGAACTATATTATTAGTTATTGTTCTGGTTTCCTGGAGGGACAGGAAATGTCTGGAGGAGAGAGCGGGGGATGACATGCAGGAAAGGAACCACAGGTGGGATTTGAACCTGGGCCGCCCTGCTTGGAGGACCACAGCCTCCATACATGGGATGCACGCACTAACCACTGTGCCACCAGCGCCCCCAAGTGGTATTCTGAACTCTTTCTATTCTCACGTAGTTTAAAGCAACACATACAGAAATCAAATGTATTTCACAATCAAATAACTAAAAGAGATCAGATTAATTCAGATTATATCCACAGAGTAAACTTTTCTTTTAAAGATATTGCTTCATTATATCTTAAAAAACAAAGGTGTAGTCAAAACTACAGTTTCCTGTTTGTCTCACCTCAGCTGCACTCTCTCTGCCTCCTGGAGGATTTATGATTTACTCAATAAATACAAACAATAAGGCGATTATTGTTTCATCACTGATTCATACTGAAGTTTAAATCTGCATAGATCTTTCATAACATGAATGTTTCTAATCGGAGATTTAAATACATTAGACTTTCTGTTTTTCTGCAGCCTCCTCCTTTGAAATTCAAATGAGCTTCATTGTACATGACGCAATGACAAAAAAGCCATTTTATTATATCATAATTTACAGAAAAATCAGGATTATGTGCAAATATGTGCAGAAAAACATCCAAAATGTTTCATTTTTATCGACATTAAAATGTTAAACAATCCCACAATGAAAGCCCTGTCTTCCCCCTTTTCCTTTTTTTTTTTAAGTTTGATCTAAGCAGCTCTACATGATAAAACATTTGTCACAGATGTGTAAAGGTGGATGTGTCGTTAGCCGGGCGGTCACACAGTACTTACTACATGTAGTTCATCTCATCTGCGATGATGGTGGGGACCATATAATCAATCTGAAAACAGAGAAAGAACAAAGATATTAAGTGTAACCTCACAGAGAAACATGTCACAGGTGAAGGAGCTGTTGGCATGTACCTGTTTCATGTCCAGAGGACTGATGGCAGTGGTGTTAGTGATGCGAGATTTTCCGATCACCGTCTTTGCGAACTGGACCTGAGCGGTGATGTTGGCCACCTCCACCGAGTAATAGTTATTGTTGGTGATGTTCAGAGTGTTCTGGAGGGAAAAAAAATAGAAATGGAAACGTTTATTAGTGTAAGTTGTAAACTTCAAGCAGGGCCAACTTGTTTCCTTAACTCAACGAAAACACACAAAAGAAAGACCTGTGATAGGGCTGCTGAGCTGTCAGCATTAACTAGTTAATCGTGATTAATTAAAGGAACAGTATTTATATTCCGCCACCAGGGGGCTCTCAAGAAAAACAATAACAAAAGATGATGTCGAGGCTGGCGGGGAATCATGGGAGTGCTCCTCTCTGCTACTCACCGCCTAAAAATCTAACAACAAATTTGACTTCTAATCACAGTGATGATGTGGAAAATGTGCCTGTCAGTGTTGGTCTTCACTGGTCTTGATTTAAAATCTGCCAAGTCTGAGACCGAGACAAGACCGACTCAAAATACTTTCCATTCCAAGACCTTGAAAAAGTGGTCTCGAGACTTGGAGTACTACAACACTATTGGCTGGGTAAAGTCATTTTCGGTATGTTCCTGCAGCCGACCGGCACCTGAGGACGAGGTTTAGCTGTGCACGGGGGACTCAGTCCGTCGATCAAACACATTAAAACTCCTCCTATCACAAACGTTTAAATCACACCAACAACACTGTGGGGGCCCTGAGCAGCTCCTTCAGCAGCAGACTGAGACACCCACCCTGCAAGACAGAGCGCTACCGCAGGTCTTTCATCCCATCTGCAATCAGACTGTTTAATCAGACTCTAACAGCATCACCACCTCATGCTACACACTGTGTGTGTTTTTTTAAGAACAAGTTACTGTGTAATTTTACATTATTGTATTTTTTTAAATTTAACTGATGTAAATATGTTTGATTTGATTTTTAACTTATATTTTTATTTTTAATATTATATTCCCATCCCCTGTTTTCTTGAGCTGCTGTAATGCACAAATTTCCCCCACAGGGGATCAATAAAGTTTATCTTTATCTTTAAAACAACAGTCTCCCCAACCCTGCAGATTCACTTTGATCAGAACATTTCACAGAATTATTCTCTCTGATGGTGAAACATCAGTTTTTCCTGCCTCACTGTTTTCTTTGTTTTACTACTTCCATGTTGTTTGGAAACGCAGTAATCCACCAGAGACCTAATTATTATTTTATTTGGTATTTCAACGTTGAAACGTCTGTAATGCTGAGGGGCTTTAGGAAGTTTAAGTTTCTGTTATTTCACAAAGTTTTCAAAGAATCATTACCCACATTAGTTAGAATGTAAAAATGCACCAGACAGAGCAAGATTATTATTTATCCTGTAAACTTTAGACTCCATTTGGATGCATGTTTGGTGACTTCAAACTGAACTAAATAAATCAGCTGCATTCTTCAGCAGTGTTTCTCAACTCGGGGGTCATGACCCTAACAATGGTTCACGAAGCAGTTTTCCAATGGGAGTCAGGAGAAAAAAACAAGGGGTCACAAAGTCTATGAAGCGCTTTTTTAAACATGTATATTTTGTGTATATCTTATGTTTTGTACTGTCTGAGGTCCAAACTGCTAAATATTTCACTAAATGAATCCAACAGATTAAAAAATATCAGAAATTTGGGTCGAGATTTTTCTAGTGTGAGTGTCAAAAAAGATGAAATACAAGAAATTACTAAATATTTGGTGGCTAGGACTTCTATTTGGTTGGCTGTGGTATCCAAACAAGTATCAGTGTCGTTTGATTTTTACTAGAATTGTCTCAAAGTTTTTTAAGAAATCTCACCGTGATGTTGAGATAAACGCTGCGCTTGTCTTGGTCGTAGCTGACGAAAACCGTCTTCACTCCGGCGTAGGAAACGTCGATGGAGCGAGGGAAGAGGAAGAAGACGGCCAGACTGGACAGCAAGAGGCAGAGAACCACTGACGCCGACACGTACAACTTCCTGAGGAAGACACCAGAAAACAACACCACTGTTTTACTAATCACACACACACACTCAGCTGAATGTTGTCACTTTGCGTAACAGCAGATTGTTAACTAGTTTTAATTTATTTCACTCTCACAAGCGTTCAACCTCATGAACCGAGGACTACAGCCACGGTACATGAGGCGCACCACATAACCTTAGTCTATCCAGCAGCCCCATTATTTGAATCTTTGACAAGAGGGTTTTGCAGAAAGTAGATTTATTTCACAATCAAATAATTAAACAAACTCAGATTAATGCAGATCATATCCACAGAGTTACAGTTATTTTTAAAGATATTCCTTCATTATAGCTAACTTAGCAAAGTCTGACAGGGATAGTCTCCAGCTATGAGGAGCATACAGTATGTGAACAGCCAGGTCAGGAGAATCCCTGGAGCGGTCCTCCTGAAATGATCTACATATTTTCAGGAGTGCAGAAATGAAAACGGCTTTTTTTTTTTTTTCTGCATCGCCGTACGACTTTGGTGTCGTAGAAACGTTGAGTTCTAATCCAACTCAATATTTGTGTGAACACAGACCAGCACAAAAACAAGGCAATGTCTCGAACGGTGGTTCTCAACTGGTGGGTCGGGGCCCAAAAGTGAGTCGCAGAGCCATTTTCAGGAGTGGGTAACAAATGTGTGCCTGGAAGAAAAACGCTGTCAAAAAGTCTATAAAACTTTTTTTTTTTTTTTTAACAAGTTTGTTTCTTTCAATTTCTTTGTTCTATCACGCTGTGTAACGTCTGACATCCAAACTGCATCATTTTTCTTTAAATGAATTAGATTGACTGGGTCCCGAGGCTCGACCAGTTAAGAACCACTGGTCTAGAGGGAGTGTTTTTGTCAATGGAGTTTGGTGATTCTGAAGAGAACGATGCAAAGGCTGTTTTTTTTATTTCAAAATAAATCTTCTTCCTCTTTAAGATAAAGGTCTGTCTCTGTCTGGATCCTTTGTCAGAGACTTAAAAAAAAAAAAAACAACCTGAGCTTGTCAGTGGACAGACTTTAATCAGACGCTCCCAAGGATTATGTTGCAATGTGTTGTGCCAGCTGAAGCAAAGTACTGGAGCAACTATTTGTAACGTATGAGTCATTCAACCCGCAGTCCTCCTAAAGCTCAAACAGGTTAAAAGTACTCACGTCCTCCTTGGCCGCAACCGTTGGTCACTGTAAGGAATCAATGCCACGAGTTGATTTTCTTGTCCTGAAAAAGGCAACAGCAATCAACGATGAGTCACTGTCAGCTGTTTCTGAAAAGTCTGCTGACGTCATCCACTTGGTTTACCCGACAATCAGAGGAAAATCATGTGGTCAGGAGAAACAGACAGCTAAAGGCTCCGTGCACATAGCCGTGTTACCTCTGGGGATCCTCCCCGTGCCCTGACATGTGGGACACGTCACGCTGTCCCGTCCCGTGAACTCCACGTACGGAAACTGAGAGACGTCTCCTCCCTTCCCGTCCTCGGACTGGGAATCCTCCACAGGAGAGGTGAGGAAGTCTTGACCGTCATCGCGTTCCGTCTGCTTCGAGAAGAGGGAAAGAGAACCCCCCATGGCCACACCTGGAAAAGAGAGTAAACCACGACCTGTGGTGAAAACACGCCGCTCTTCTCATAACTGGAAAGATTTTTTCTGGAAAGAAGTTATTTTCAGTATTTTTTGTTTCACCATCACAATATTTGATGTTATTAGATTTTCCTGATACTGTGAAATCCTTCCTCTTTCACCATCTGATAGTAATTAAATCATTCAGAGAACGCCATGTTCAGAACATTTACTCCTTAGAAAGAGGATTAATTCAACTCAATCAACAGCAGAATAAATGAGAAACACGTTACAGCAGTGGAAACTTTACATTTAAATTAGACAAGTATCAGACAGGTATCAGATAGAGTTGCACGGTGGTGCGGTGTTCAGCGTTGTTGCCGCACAGTGAGGAGGTCCCTGGTTTGAATCCCCGTCCGACAGGAACCTCTCCATGTGGAGTTTTCACGTTCTACCCGTGTATGCGTCGGTTCTCTCCCACAGTCCAAAAACGTTCTCTGTTTGGTGACTACAGATTGGTGAGAACGTGAGTGTGGCTGCTCATGACACATCACAAAAGTCTTTATCACATCAAATAGGAACGATTATTTCTTGTGACCAATCAACGCTTTCTCACTCAGCTTGTGTACATATAACCTGCTGACTGGAGGCCTTTGCATTACAGCGTTGCTTAAACACAACATGATGAAGCTTGTTGCGAAATGTCAGCGATCCTCAGATCAATTGGTGCCAATTTAGGGGGAAAAAAGTGTTTTGGATTTTTTTTTTTTCAGGAGAAACAAATACCTGAAAATAAATGCCTTTACGTTTTGTTCAGTATTAGTTTATTAATTACATTCATATTTTTTATCACAACACTGTGCAATAGTACTGCACACTGTATTTATATTTTTTATTACGCAAGCCCAAGATAAAATAAGACAAAAGTCTAAAATAATTAAGTTTTGATTCAACATTTAAACTCATTGCATTTAATAGGCATTACCTCCTGTATTTTTAAATATGGCAATTTATATCCCAGACAAAAATGACATCGCAATGCAAGTTGTTCTAAAATATTTATACCTAAAATTCTAATTTCAGGTGCAAATAGGAGATTATCAGTATGTGATCATATGTTCATCATTTGTGTCGCACCAATGCATCGAAGTGCTGAAGTTGTTTTATCGAATTTATCAACAAGTCATCGAACACAGCATACAGAGGAGATTGTTACCTGACGTCACACAGTTACAAACACACTACTACAGTCATGACAAGATAAAACTTTGTGTAAAAAACTACAAACACTAGCTTAGTTTAGCTTTGTGTAGTTCCAGCAGCAGCTAAAAGTACAGTCACAATAAAGTCATGAAGGAGTTTGTCTTCAGTAAAATGTTGACAGGCGACAAGTTACTGCTTTCAAAATCAAAGTATATGAGTAAAAAAAAAAAAAAACATGAATAAATGATGCAAGCTGTGAAAATAACCCTTTTAAAGAAACACACATCTCACTGACAGCTAGCCTATGAGCTAACTTAGCTACCATACAGCTAAGAAACTGTCAAAAATGAACATACGCCACCGGGAAAATCCCCCGCTGCTAACTTACCGATCCACCGAAACATCAAACAGTCCGTTAGTCAGCAGCTAGTGTGACAAATGTTGTTACGAGACAGAATTGAGGGGAGGAAGAATTACCTGAATGTGACTCTTAATTCTCCAGATATCTGCTTGCTGCTAAAGGCTCAGTGTTTATCCGACACGAAACGGACATGCGCAGTTATGACGCGTTCACGGCCGTGGGAAAAGAGTGGTTATTTTCGGGTTTAGAAATCTAATTCTGCTCGGTTCAAATACCACTGGGAAATAACACAGCATGGAAAAGTTTGACGTTGGAGATAAGTTATGTATCATAGAGGGGTGACGACTCGGAATTTTTCTGTATATAGGCTTATTTTGAACTAGAGCTAGATAATCAATGTCTATATTTAAGTTAAGGAGCCCCTGAAAGTAAAAACAAATATCTTGTGCGCACAAGTTAATATCTTCTATTTTTGGGACCTTAGGGGCTCTGTAGTTAGGTACCAGAAATGTTAATGACGTCATAAATAATTTGACCTTTAATCCGCCAACTCCCACCCTACTGTTCCAAATTACACAAATAGTAAATGTAAATGTGTTGCCTCATTTAAATATATATGTTTAACATCACCAGATAATAAAGAAAACTGGACCCTCGGCCTCTACAATGTGATCTGAGGTCGTCGAGTAGTCTTGCTGTATAATTGCAGTTCTGTAATTCAGCCACTTGGGGGCAGTGTTTTTCTAATTTCCCAAATGTTTGCAAGGCTGTCACACATCTGGTAGTTTATTACTTTATTATTAAAGGTCATGTTTTACCGCGCACTTATTTTAACCTTTAATGTATGTAAGTGGAGAATGAAGTGTAAACATGACGTTTTCCCCGGGGTTAAGGTAAAGTGGATAGGGAAAGGGGATAGGAGGGACAATTCGAATCCACCCTTTGATCTCTTCCTGTTTTTTGACCTACCCTTTTGCCTTCTTGTCTGTTTTTGCCGTTTGTGTACCAAACTTTGGACTTAATTAAACATATTACCCTCCCTCTGAGTCTGCTTATATATCCAAAGTGTATTTATATCTTTGTGTCAAACTTTGCATTATGCTTATCATTTATTTTAAATATTGTGTTTTGTGTCCGTCCTCTTGTTTATCAGCTCATTTCTCTTTTTTTTTTTAAGATATAAAGTTGTAAACTACAATGGATGGATTGTAAATCACAAAACAGGTCTGGAAACTGTTTCTGCTGTTGAGTCTCAGTTCATTTGAGGACAACATTTTGTTATCTTTGCTAACTGGTTTCCGGTTTCTGCCCAGTTACCCCCTTACAGTTTTTCATCCTCTGCAGTGGGAAGCTGTCATATTTCATCGCGGTGTTTCTGACAGGAGACTCACCTCTTATCAAATCAAAGCCGAGTTCGGGACCTTGCGTTCACACTCGAGCAGCAGCTGAAGAGCAGCTGTCCGTGCCTGTGAGAGTCATCGTCGCTGTGCAGAAACACTCTTGACTGTTTCTGTCCTCAGACACTTCAGCGCTCCGCTCCTTTATTCTGTGTGACTGAGATTAATCGCTGCTGCTGTTTGATGCCTCAGGTCACCAAAAGGCCCGAAGGTCTGCTTCACTGAACCAACGCTGCGTCCCATACTGCAGCACAATGTGACCTCTGCAGCGTGATATCTTTAAGGTTGTTTTAGGGAATGAGGGGATGTAAACAACCCGGGAGACAGAGGCAGTTGTGAAATAAGTCCTAAATAAATATTACATGAACAATTAAAACACTTTAGCAACAGGAACTACTACTCAGTTTGTCTTGTTCCAACTTTAGAGTAGGACGGGGGTCACTTTGATCCTATAATCAGGATTATCCTGGTCCCAGCAGAGGGCTGGATTCAGACTGGATCAGATCACAGGAGATAAATGTAAAAGAAACTTTGGTAACACTTTCAATGAAGGCCACAATATCCACCATTATAGTCGCTTATCAGTATGCCAATAAGTAGCATACTGGCCGCTTATTAGTCGTTATTAAGGGCTCATTAGTAGGCTTCCTTATTCTACATGACCTTAATTTATAGGTCATTAACTAAGAGTTTGCTCGCTTTGACCACGAGGCTACAAGGGCACCTAATTATTTTATTCGATGTACTCAATTAAACCATTAAATGGGTTTATTCTCTGTTATTGAGAGACATCACACACATAAGCCCAAAACACACACCTGCACAAACACGACCTATGGCCATGCATTAATGGAGAGGTGTCAGTGTGGGAAGGCTGCACACAGGAGGCGCCCCTGAGCTGATGGGGGCTCTGTATCTCGGCAGTACTCGGGGGAGCGAACTGGCCCCTCTTCAGCAACCACACCAATTTCTATACTCAAGATCCATTCATGGACTTGAACCTACAACTCTCCTCTTCCCAACCCAGGTCCCTACTAACTGAGCTACAGCCACCCAAATACTGATAGAGTGACATAGCATTTAAAGTTAGGGTTGTGGATTTTATCTTCATAAGACAATAAAACACCTTTAATAATCTCCTCTTTGTACAATGACAAATGATGTATTATTTGGTTTAATCATTAAAATACTCAGATATGAACAGAACATTTGAAAGATCACATAGAGAGCATGTGTTCACAGGACATCGTGTTCTGTTTGACCTCCTCACTGCTGATTAAATGACTGTTTTTATCATACTTGAGTGTTTTTGATTGGCACTCATCAGCCGCCTTAAATTAGCTCCTGATTGGTCCTAATTTTTAAACTGCAGTCCTCGTCTTTTCCATTGATCACACAAGGAGGCAGTGATTGTGTCGGGGTGCGGGGGTGGGATGGGGGTCTGAGTGTTTGAGAAAATCAGCAGTTTTTTTCTGAGTGTTGTCTCTGCTGCACACTGACGGGGACAGAAAGTGCTGTGACAGCAAGATATTTATTCACCTTCACCCACAGGAGCCGGCGACCCTCCATCAACACAGCTCGAAGAAAAAGACTCAAGAATTTTTTAATGTTAACATTAGGTCAATGAAAGGGTGAGAATGATGTGATGTATAAAACGTTTTTAAATCGCTCCTGTAGATTTCTTCATCCTGCAGCAGTGAAACAGGCTGTAATGGCTGCAACATAACCCTTGACAACCAAAGGGTTTTCACTTTAAGAGCCTCGTCTTGTCCTGACAGGCTCAGATTATTATTCCTTATTGCTTCTACCTCATAATGTCTGCGTCTGTTTTGTTTGACTGTTTCAACTGTATAAGAGCTTGCATGTCAAAAATGGTTCTCCAGTTGAACACTGATAAAACAGAGGTTCTTATATCTGTTCTTCCAGAGGTGATGAGATATCTTGGTTACTTATTCTTTGCTGTCCTGCATAACTGAAGTGTACAGATGGGCCAGGCTCTGAGTCTGGACCAGTACATGAACAGTGTCCGCTCCTCTTTCTACCGTCTAAGGAATATAGCTAAATGTATCCGGAGCTGAGAGATGCTGGTACATGCTTGTAGGTGAGGACCTGGTTAGGACGGTATAACTGGGTATGGAAGGTGAGTGTTGTTCAGGTGATGTTGGTAAGAACACCAGTGAAGTAGTTTTCCTTCTTGAGTTTCTCCTTTATTCCAGTATGTTGAAATACAGCCAAGTTGGTACAGTATCTGGGCATAGGTAGCTGTTTGTCTGTTCGGATGTGTGTAAGAATATCCGTGTGTGTGAGTATTAGTGTGTGTGGTATGTGTGTGTGTGGGTATGTGTGTGTGTGGTCTGCAAAACAATAAAGGCAGAGATTAAACGCTGTCTCTGGATTAATGTTCACCAATATCCTATTGCTAATAGAGAGTATGCACTTAGACTATAAGTCACATAACACACTATGATAAGCAATCATATTGACAACAGAATAAGTAAATGTACACACATAAGCCATGTTAGCGAAACATATAGCATAACAGTTACTAATAATTGGCCATGTGATAGCCAGCAAGCTAATCGCTAAGATAGCTGAACGACGATTAGCGCGCAAATTGCTAACACTCTAATATCACTTCTACTTCTGAACATACACATCAACTAAATCAAAAACTTCCAGAACTTACTTGGTTCTCGTGGACGCACACAATAAAGCACTCAACACAACTGGTGATTCAGGCAGAGCAGTTAACAAGGAACAGTTAACTCTCACACTCTAACTGCTTAACTCACCTACATGAGGTGAGTAGAGCTGCACATCGTCGAAGGGACGGGGTTATGACGTCATCACCCAGAGAGCCTTAAGAACAATGCTTTTGTTTCATCAAGGCTTCATTACTGTAATTCTCTTTTTTTCACATTTCTGAACTGACTACAAGTGGTCCAAAATGCTGCTTCTAATCTGCTGACGACATCATCCAGAAGGTATCATGTCACATCCATCCTCACTGGCTTCCCATCATTTTTAGAATCAAGTTTAAAATTGTTGTTGTTGTGCTTAGAGTCTTGCACGGTCAAGCTGCTGCTTGTATCATTGAGCTGCTTAAACCATGAAACACCAGCATACATACTCTGATCAGGGTATGCTGGTTGTTCCTGAGAGCTGTGATCTCTGTGGATACTTAAAAAGAAGTTAAAGACCCATCTGTGCAGACTTGCCTTTGTTAGATCTGTCTATGTCTGCTTTTATGTAATGTTTGAGCGTACCAGGTGTGTCTTCTTATGAGTGTACAGATACATTGTGCTGTAGTAGAAGCTACTTTCCAGACTATGGTATCGATTGCCTAATAACTTGCGCCGATGATGGACCAATTTGCTTCTGTGCATGGCGCACACGGCATCCTACCTGCAAGCCCCTTCAACCAGAAACACACATTGCATTGCTCTCTTTAAATTGTGAAATACCAGGAAATAAATTGTGAAAATGGTAAATACATTGCAATAAATACCAACTCTTGGAAGGTATTTTTTTATCTTGGAAACAAAGGCTAGAAAAGCTACTGTCCTAATCAGGTAGCCGGTCTTGATCCCCTTCATTACTGCATACTTGAACACACCTGGTGTCCCCATGACAACACTGGTTATTGTTGATTTGTAGGTAAACACAGAGGTCCTTTAAAGCCAAGACACAGATTATATAATTTCTGGGTGGATAACAATGATGGTGGCGTGTTTCAGCCTTTTTTCTTCGTTTCTCTGCCTCCCACATTAACTTCCTCTTCATGTATTATAATTAGCAAAGGTCAGA